TCCACGCATGGAGAAGCCCCCTCGTTGACGGGGCGGCAGGGCTGACGGTGCAAAATTGCGGGCTTTGCGAGAAAAACTTAACATAGAGCCTGCCTTGAATCAGGGTCCGTGCGGCGGAGTCCTTGAAGCGCTGCGGAAACACAAGCGGATCCTTAAGCACCTCGGTCGGTATATTGGGGGGGTGGGTGGGGTCGAGCGCGCGCAGTCAAAAGTCTCTGAACTCCGCAGACCTAGTGCACAGCTTCAACGATGCAACGGAAGAGACCGACAAGAATATAGCTGTGTTGTAATTGCTCGTGAGGAGTGGTGAGGAGTAAGGCTTTCATGTTTGCACTGTTCCCTCCAAGCCGATGACAACTACATCACGAAGGTCTCAAAAACCCATGCGCCTTTGATGCTATGAAAGGCCTGGTGTCCTTCAGTGCTTGCCCGTATTTGGAGTTTGCATTCTCGCGCAAGGTGTTTCCGTTGGGAAGAATGCTTCGAGTCGGGTTTGGACTGGCGCTGCCTTGCAGCTGTTCGGGAGTTTGTTGCGCAGAGCTCGTTTTTCATGGTCAGGGGTTGAATGAATCTCAATAGCATCGCCCGCCCCGAATTTCGGGCTCAGCTTGCTGCTCACTGCCTTGCTTGCCCCGGATGTGCTAGTAGATGGATTATGAGTTTCGCAAAGCTTTGAGCATTGGCAAGGGTAACCACAGCCAAGTGGCTGAGGTACATACCTCCGTCGGGTCATCCAGTTCATCTGCGTAGGGCAAGTAGCCACATACCTTAGGTTCTGAGCAATGCCATGGTCGACAACTAACTACGTGGGGTGTCGGTGGGCTGCAATTCTGGCCAGTTTCTGGCAACAACAAACTAGAGTCGCGATTCTAGAGTCGCGATTACAACAGTTGCAAGAGTCAGGCCCTTGCACATCTTGCATGTTAAGCCAGGACCTGGGCAGCTTTAGGAGGTCTGCGCAGCGTTTCAAAGAGACTCCCCAGTGTCGCGGTTCAAGTGGCAAATTCGAAGAGCATGATGCCCAATGACCAAAGGTCCGCCTCACTGAAGCGTTTCTCAGACTTCTCTGTGCCTTGTACGGCCGTCTAGCACATCGTGTCCACAGACAGTGACGGGACCAGCTCTACAAATAGGTACTGCACGGAATGATGACGGAGATACGTGGGCGTAGCATCGAGTGTAGCAGTGTAGCAAAAGTTGACAGAGAGATATAATCAAAAACTATCTTTTTGGAAGTTGACGGGGACTTCCTGAAGCATGACGGCAGGCGGTAGTCGTTCCTCGCCTCAGTGCCATAGCCGTGGCCCCGCATCACCTCAGGAGCCTGAGCCATGGTACTGGATTGGTGAAATGGTATGTCTGGGTCTCCACGATACGTTTACAAAACTGAGGTTTGATACAAAGCCTTGGGCATTGTTTCAAGGGCTCCTAGCAGTCCAAGCACCTACTGTATCAGTGAGGATGGGCCTGTACATCACACCGGCATGATCTCGCCTCCAACATTGAACATGTCTGCACAGGTTTGTGCATCTGGTACATCGGACTACTCAGACTATTCGGACGGCTTTTTGAAGCAGGCACTGATGGTTTAAGGGCATCCTCGTGGGCTCGAGTTGCAAAGGCCCTCTTTCTTTGATTCTTATGAGGCATGCGGGAAGCTAATAGTCGTGGTGAAAGGGGGTCGACCATGGGGAGTCTTGGTAGAAGGACATCGGAATTGACCTTAAGCTTTGGAAGTCCCAGCACTGGCTGAGAGGCCATGTAGTGCGGTGTCCCGATCATGGTGAAGGTGCGCGTCTCTCCTGGAGCAGAGTACGGACAAGGCCCCCCCACCACAATATCTCACAAGCTGAGTTCCACAGCAGGGCAAGGTGTGAGTTGTATAGCCTGCGCCAAACGACGAGTGCAGACAAAAATGCACAAACTCCTTCAGCCATCTTCTTCGCGATGCCGAAGTCGATCAGCTTCAGGTATCCTACCAGTGCACAGTTCCCGCCTACCAAAAAACATCCACCATAACTGAAGCAAGCACAGCTTCCCTTCAGAAACCTCGCACCACCAACACTTACTTGGTGACAATCATCTGCCTGACAACCGGCTTGAAACTACAGCTTTGCCAGAAGGCCGCGCCCCTCCGGAATGAATCGGATAATAGTTAATTGCTCAAGGCTAGGAGAAGGAGCCTTGTGAGTCGAGCATGACATTCTCCGGCTTCAGGTCGCGGTACACAATTCCTTGCATTCTGAAGTGATATTCGTGGTCCATCCACTGATCCGCGCTTGGCAAGTCTCAGCAGCTTATGCACACAGCTGCAGCGTGCTCAAAATGAGCTCGTAGGATGCATTAAGTATGTTGGCTCTAAACCCATCCCACCAAGGGTGCATTTTGAACAGGGTTTTGCACAGGTTCCTAGTCGAAGCCTGAACTCCTGAGTGACTTCACTCTGAACATCTCTGAACGCTGAGCCGTCATTCTTGAGTGAACAAATCGGCAGTCAACCAAGAGGCGCTGCTCGGACAGCTCCTCCAGCACAATCACCTCGGTTCCCCGTGGAGGGGAGGGGTGCAGGGTGTCAGGCGGATTAAGGTTTTGAAGCTCGAACGATGATTTTCATGGATGCAATCCACATTAACCCCCAACAATAAACGTGCACCATACAGTAGCTTGGGTCAGGTACGTAGCCGGCTGGAGTCGTTGCTTCTGAGCGATGGAAAGATCAAGCCCTGTTCGTTGTGCCTCTTTGTTCCAACATCGTTCAACATTCTACGCAGTGCAAGCCTTCCAACTTCGAGCAGCGATTTCAGGGCGGATTTTCGGCACAGTCCAGTCGGCAACCCTTCAGCTAACTGGGTATGAAGGTGCCCTCCTGTACCGTGCTTGACAACTGTCCGGCCACTGAAAGCCCAGGCCGTGGCTGGCTCAACTCAAATTCACCCCAAATCACCTCAAAGCGACGCAAGCGTCCCATTGAGCCCAGGGACGAGCGATCCCGTGTAAAACTGCGCCTGGGCCCTGGAAAGCACCGTCGGGATTTCCTTGGCGAGAGCCATCGCATGATAGAGCTGCTAGGGATGAACTGTCAAAGCTGTATCGACTTCGTCGGGCTTTCGGGTTCAGTGTCTTGTGAGTGCTCTGATGCTGGGAAGCTTGCTCAGCTTCGCTTGGATCTAACAACTGCTTGACAGCCTGACGCCGTGCCATGCACACAAAACTCTGGCTCCAAAGCCCAATGATTACCCGAGCTTGATCTTCCGGCAAGTCTCGCGGATGGCCGCATGAAGCTCCCCACCAGTTATGAGCTCTGTGAGAATGTATACGCTCCTGTAGAAGTTCTTGAGACAAAGGCTCCGTTGGGAATTCTTCAATTGTAAAGAGTAGGCAGTCATCATGTCGTCGGCTTGGGTTATGTTATACTTCACCTGCCAGGGAGTGTGGCCGGAGCTGGTTAGTGCAGACGCTGAGCTCCTTATGTCCGAAGAGCCCCGACACTAAGCGCACGCGAAGAACGTGTGCCGGGACTGAGTCGTTTCGATGTATGCTCTAGAATGCCGGGGAGCTGTCACGGCGCTGCTTACTTCTTGTGTAGACATCAAGCGGTCCTGTCTGTCTCGAAAGTCTTCACCAATGCCATGATGAACGGGTGGTCAAGGCCTTTCAAAAGCCCGCATTCGCGGTTAACCTGCACAGCGGAGCTGTTTGCTTGTGCGATGGTTTCAGAAAGGGACTTTGGACTACTTCTCACATCAGAACCACCTCTGAGCCATATCCAAACTAAACTTGGGACCCCGGAGAAGCGTGCAAAATCACGGAGGCTTGGCGCGACAAATGCGGGAACCCTCAATCACTCTTTATAGGAACTCCTCGCTACACAGACTGACACAGGACCCTGGCTGGTGCAAGCATCTGGGTCAGACACAACTTACAACGGTATGCTTGGGAGCTTGCCTGATTCGATCGAACACCCAGATTCCGTTCGCTTCCAAACTAAGGGGCAGGTTCAAGCAGCTTGCGGGATTTGCTGGCATAACCACGAGTACTCATGAAGCTGGAAACCACTCGAGCAATACTCTTGGACAGGCCCTCCTGCCTCCTCTGGGACTTTACCACCCTGCTTTCGAATTCGTTTCAGCGCATACCTGCAAGATGTGTGTGGGCAACATTGCTTAGGTTCAGGGGCTTCAGATTGAGAGCTGAGGATGTCGGATTGGTGCATTGCAAGCGCCTGCTCTTGCAGATCAGCGCTCTCTATCAGCTAGGTCAGCTAGGTGCGACATCGAGTTCCCCACTGACTGCTTGATTGATCCACTTCAGGTCATCCCCAAAGGCACCATGCCCTCAATCACGGACTTTAGCCACTTCTGACAGAATCTTCCTCAACTCAAGCAGGCCCGGATGCCCTCTTCCCCCCCCTCCCCAAAGTCTTATGCAGTACCTCGTGCCGGTGCTCTTGTTGATCACCAGGCGAACCGTCCCAGCTGCTCCTGCTCCGATGACGGAGACTTGCCGGAGGTCCTGAAGACGCAGGTCGGGACCCACTCTATCGGCCATGGGTCGTTGGGGATTGCCCCGCAAAACCAATAAGGGAACAGGCAAGACCAGCATGCCCGCACGGCCCTTGCGCCTTCAGCCCAAAGGAAGAGTCTTGCAGGCGGATCCGGTGCATCAGCTCCGCCTGCATCTTGCCCTTCACAATCCTGGGCTTGGGGAGGTCGTGGAGATTCGGGTGCTACACAAGGAGACATGCAAATATTTTGGAGCTACGGGAAACCTGGGAAACAGGGCCACTCTCAGAGTCTCCGTACATTATCCCCCTTCGGTGAGCAGGGGTCTGCGAGAAGGTGTGCTTCTCGATGGACCAGAACTCCGCCTCGCAAAGGCACTTTTCCAGCAAAAGGAGAGAGGACTCGCCAAAACCAACTGAGTCCAACTCCGACTCACCCGCTCCCCCGCCCAGACCACACACCCTTAGCCGTCATCGCGCGAACCTCGTTGGAGGTCACTTCCACCGTGGCGGTGCGTGGCTCATCGAAGAGCAGCGCCCGCTCTCCAATGTAGGAGTTCTTGGACATCGCGCGGATGAACCTCAGAGGGGTTGCAAGACACGTTCAAAAAACAAAGCTGACGGCCGCGCGCTTGCAAAAATGAAGCAAGAAACAAGTCTGAGTAGTCGTCATCTACTGAGCCCCGGGCTTGCCATCAATGGTGATATTCACCTCGCCGCTGACGATCACAAAGAAGGAGGACCCGAGCTCCCCTTGTTTGATCACCTGACGGCTAGGATGCCAAAGCGCCAAAACATCAAAAGCTTCTAAAGAGGCCACCTAGGCGAGCCAACATGCCCGGCCATCCCCACCTGCGCACCCTTCCGGTGGTGCTGCAGAATGAAGGACCGCACCAGCTTACCTCAAACACTTCCGCACCGTCTTCACGTTGGGGCTTGGTATGTTGGGGCGCAGAGAAAGTTGCAAGCGGGCTTCTTTGCAACAACCTAGCAAGCCTCTGCAGATTCCCCATTCAGCAGGCTTGTCGCACAACTCCATGGAGCAACAAGCCAAGCCACGAGTTCAACGTCGCAAAACGTCGCAAATGACTATTCCACATACAAGCAGTAAAGTACAGTACCCCACGTCGCGAAGCTGAAGGCACAAGCTCCCAGAAAGCGATGGGGAACAAGACTTGAAATGAGCCCTGGGAAAGAGTCGGCATCGTAGGACAAAGTCGCTGACCTACTCACAAAACATAACCCAAACACGCCCTAGATGCCAGGACCGTCAGAAATTGCACGGGGCTGCCTTGCAGTTGCTGTGCGGTTGCCGTGCGAGGCGCAAGATTTCGAGAGAGTTTGCCGAACTTTGGGCCAGGAGGCTGACCTGTTCGCGCGAAAGGTGCTGAAAGATCCGGACTTTCCTCTCACGGCACAAGTTTGACGTGAGCCTCTTGCGGGTCTGCACTGGAAATTTCGGCGGAGGATGCACATGGGCGACGGGAGACCCGCAAAGCAAAGTCACATGACAGGAACCAGATCAAGGTGTCCTGACCATCAGCATCTTTCGGGCGAGATCCGAGGTCTCCTGTGCTGTAGAATCGCTGCAAGTAGAATCTGCTGCAAAGGTCAGCAGATGCGTGCCGGAAAGCAGAAGTTCATGGAAGCAGGAACGCCGTCTGAAACCCATGGACCCTCAAGCGGCACCTGGAAGCCACAAGAGGTTCTAACAGTTCACGGTTTGGGCCCCCCGTCCTCGCCCACCGCAACTGCCGCCAGCCCCAAATTCTCCAGGGCCGTGGAGAGCCCCGCCTGCTTCTTTGGAGTCACGGGCAGGAGGGGCTGAGGAGGGGCTGGGGAAAGGCGGGGGGTGTTGTGGGGGTGTTGAACGGATGCTGGCTGTTGGGGCTTTGGGCTTTCGCGGTTCCGATGTAGCGAATCATCAAATTTAGGGGTTCTGAGTCGAGGAGGCTGCAGGTGATGCCTGGAGCCTACACGGAACACACTCGCGTGCCTTGCTAAGAGACGCGACTCGAGCACCATCTGGGCCGGCCACCATCTCCTGATGCTTTGTTGATAGACGTCGAGACATCTCAACATGCTTAACACAAAGTCACAATTAACATGCTGAAACTCCGCTTGTAGCTCATCCCAGATGCCGACACTCTGAAACTAGTGTTATGACCCCGGATTCAGCCACAGAGAGCACGTTGCCAAATATTTTTCCGAATACTTTATGATTTGAGATATTTCTTGAAGTCTTTGGATTTATGATATTTTTATGGTTATGAAAATTTATGTTTGTCGTCGATTTTATGAAAATTTTATGATTTTTTACTGAAAATTTTACGTTTTTTCATCAATTTCGCATCATTTTCAATGCAGAAACACACAAAACCGACCAAAACCATCAAATTTTCATAAACAAATCATAAAATTTTCATAAAATCGGCGAAAAAACATAAATTCTTCATAAAAAACATGATAAATTTTTCATAAAATCGAAGAGAATCATAAACCAAATCGTAAAAATGTCATAAATCAAGAAATCCCAAAATCATATTTAAAACATAAATTTTCCATATAAAAAATATTCCTGGGAATCGTGGCTCTGGCTACACATCCAGTGTCATAAAACTAGAGGATGTCGTCATATACATGGGGTTGACCCATCATGTAGATCAACTCCACACGTGGTTTCACTTCCTGAATGGCACTTAGTTTTTGACATGGGCCGACGATCAAGGGCCCCTAAGCCCTGCAAACTGCTGCGCTGACGAGGTGGCACCTGAAGATCGCTCTTCAGCTCGGAGCGCTCGAGAAGGGCACTGTCCTGGCAGATGTGAAGCTGGAGAGGACTGCGCTCTTGAATGATTTCATGCCCGTTTGAACTTCTATCATCTATTTTTTCATCCCCCCTGCCACTTCCCACACCCTTAAGGGAGGGATGCTTGCAGCTTCTGCAAGAAAGCAAATGCCAGCCCCCCCTCCCCGGTCAAGATTGGAGCCCCTGTAACGCCCAAACCCTCTACAAGTACAAAGGGGGAAGGGAGGTTTATTTAGTAAAGCATGAAGCCGAGCCCTCATGAACGCCAAGCCAACCTAAGACACGCTTGTCAGGCCTACCTATAGCATCCCAGCGCAACACCCAGCCTCCAGCCACTGGCCCTGCTCCAGTGACGTGGATTTGCCTCTGGGGTTCCATGACTGGTTGGCGCTGAGAATGAGAAACGCAATCGACAAAGTTAAGGGCCGGCTAAGGGATAGCAGCTGCTCTAATGAGTTCAGCTTCAGGCAGCCTGGGCCATTTCAAGATCCACTCACGTGCTTCGTTGATGCCGAGGCCGGAGGTTCGGGTGTCCAAGCGAACTTGCATGCTGTGGGACACGTCCCGGCCTTGCCACCTTCCTTTGATCTGGCCTCTCAGGGGGTAAAGGTGCAGGGATCGAACGATTTGCATTGCCCTACAAAGAAACTCCCACCTGCACCTATTGGGCCCCTATGAAAGCCTGAAAGAGCCAACCTGGAGTTGCCTATCTTCACAGCCCAAGCCGGCCTTTGACGATGACCAGGAACCCTGCATGGTCCTCAACCTTCCAGGGGCTCAGCACTGCACATCTCGCCTGGGTCAGCCTTCAGAACGACGACCTTCAACTTTGTTGTCTGCTTGTTGCAGATGTGTGTTGCAAGTTCTTCCCGGCTCCAAACCACCTTTGGAGGCAAGGAGGCCACTTTTGCGAATCCGGTGTGAACCCGGTGAGAGAAGGCGCCAAGCTTTCGGAAGTTTGCATTTCTTCACTAAAAAAAACCATTTTGGATGGATCTGTCTGTCAAGCACACCGCATCGCGCTGCAAATGTCGAAACATGAAGATCCACCCATGCATGAAATCCCATGACAACCGAAGAGTGCGCGATTGGAAGAATCTCCAAAGAGCAAACTGTACGCAGCCTTTTACGCAGGCTGGGCAGCGCAGGGTGACGATTTGCAGGAAGACCCCAGGTTTAGAAGCAGAGGAAGATTGCAAAGTGGATGAGCTTCTGGCAGACGTGCACGCAGAAGAGAAACAGCCAGAAGGAGGAAATGCAGAAAAGCCTCCAAACTTGGATCCCTCAGAACTAGAGGAATTGGACAAAGAAGCTGCAATTGAAGAGTGGAACAGATTGTCCAGGACAGGAGTAAGGGAAGACATGAAAGTTGAGAAGGTCGACGAAACATGGAAAGAGTTGGATCTGCGCGAAGTGTACGATTGACGTTTTCGCGAACAAAGGTGGCAGAGAAGTTGTAGAACCGTTGCACGAGAATGCCGCGATGGAGCGGAGCACATCGGAAACTTTCAGTCCTATGGCAACCGAGCTAAAGTAAAACGGAACTTGAAGCCATGTACCAAGTGCATCCTGTTGATTTTCCAAAAGCCCAAGAGAATCATGGAGTCGTATGGACGTGTGGAAGCAGTTGAAGAGAATGAGAACTTCTGCGAGCATTTCTGCGCTGAGAACGGCGTCAGGTGATTTACATCGTCTTTCAGGAGCAGGTAGGCCCTACTACAGCCCCTGCGCCCTTTGATCAAATCTCCAAAGGCAACTGCCCTGCGATTAACAAGCATTTGTCGTCGGAGTCTTCGCTTACGTCTACATTCCAAGCAGAGGCGCTCCAATATTGAATTGGTTGTTATGCTTCGTGCTGCCATCCGTGCTACGATTACTTCGATTTGTCGTTTGATGTCCGCACCTTGTCGCCGGCAGAGTACGTCCGCACCGAGATCGACTTTGAGATCTCGCTGCGCTGGCCAGAGGAGAACTGAGACAGCACCGCGCTTTCCTCCAGGGGGGGGGATGGTGTCATGGGTTAGTCTTCGGGTTTAGGGCTTGCAGTCCAGGATGCTGCGGGTTTAAGATGCCGCTCAGTGCATGGGGGAAACTAAGGGAAGTGGACGAACCGATGCGCAAACACCAAACAACCATTGCAACCTGGCAAGCGTTGAGCTCCGTGGCAACTTGTAGGCGCATGCGACCCGAACAAACTCCAAGCTGCAGGCTTGCAATATATCGACAAAATCCTCCCTTCGTGGCCTGCATGGCCTTCAAGACCAGGCCGTTCTCCAACACGCGACCCAGGTCTTCGCCCAGCAAGCTCTTCAGTTCGGGCACCGAAATGCACAAAACCTCAGACAGCCAGAGCAAAAGGACAGCTCAAGGCCTGGAGGGCAAGATGCCAAGTCGTTTCACGAATGATACTGTGATAACTGTCTCGGTTGCCTGAAGCCTCTTCTGACTCATCTGACGGCCCTATTCCGCACAGGCCGACTGGGAACAAGCCTCCCAGGCCCCAACCCGCAACTGCACGCTTCCGTGCTCCATGTGCTTGTGATGCCGAACTTCAGAACAGGGCCATGAAAGCTAGACGACCCACTGTTTTCACACGTGTGGCTGAAGTCAGACGAGAAGGACTTTGTTGGTGGTGCAAAACCCCATGCGGAATGTCCGCTGGTTACGCTTTAAAGCGAAGAGCTCCTTAAGGAGACATGGAGCCTCTGAGCTGCTGGAGGCAACCACGGTGTTCTCCCACCGCGCGCTGACGCCTCAGGTGTTAAGAGTCTGGGGATGTGCCGGAAGGAATGTACCGCATGTACGGGAATGCTTGGTTGTTCGGTTCGGCTTTTGTGCTGTTTCGGGAGGCCGGAGCGAAGTTGGGGTGTCTGAGTTCACACATTGCACTCATTGCACCCGCAATGCCAACTACTCGGTACACGATGCTTAGATGCCCGGGGTGGTTTAAAAAAATTGTAAACAGCGAAATGGCATAATACATTGGTATTTGCAGTGGAAAACGTGGGGAAAACTACTTGATTTTTGACAAGATACGAGTATGTACTTGCACGGCTGATCACTCATGTTTCAGCTTGGTGTTAGGGTAACGGGCTCCCTTCAACACCTGTTTAGGGTTTGGGTTTAGGGTTTGCTGAAGCCAGAGCCCGCTATCCTAACACCAAATTGAAACGCGAGTGATCAGCCTGTCGTGCGGGCATGCATGCTGTGGCCTTTCGCGCGCACTCGTATATGCAATGCGCGCACTGGTAACTCGTAGGCATGCTGCATATATAACCCCGAAAATGGAAGACTCACCCATGGGCATCTACGAACTGGGTTCCAACTTGGCCTCTTGGCCTACCCTGGCAGGCGAGAGGAATAAGCCCCATGGTAGGACCTATCTGTGCAAGAGTCTTCTGCATCCCCACATTCAACGTAACGGAACCCTGTCACACCCAGTCGGAATTTGTTCTCTACGACTTTCGGCATCTTTCAACCTTCGCCGCAACCTTGACGACCCCAAGTGTAGTGCAAGGTGCCGGAGAGGAGGGATTCCCCCAAAGAAGTGCCAGGACCCAGCGTCGCAAGAACCTAGAATGGATATGGGTGGACAGGATGGGTCGACAAGGATGGGAAGCCCTTTGTAGCTTGCCTGGCTTACGGCTTACGCAAGGCCCCAAATGTCCTCATGCGATCGGGGTCATGCCATTCTCAGGATCCGCTTGGGGTCTTGGGGCTTCAATCCAAAAGATCTGATGAGAACTTTTTCGGGAAGGCATGGGCTCCAGTTGTCAGTTGCCGTTTCCAAAACCCTTGCATCCCAACAGGTCCGTTGCATAGATGCCCAGGGCCAGTTTAATCATAGTTTCTATTCCATTAGGCAAGGAAGAGAAATTTCCCGTGCATCATGGAAAGCGAGGATCGACACCCGACGCTTTAAGTCGACCAGATGGTCTAAATGCGTTTTAATACTTGCTGGTAGGTCTGCTGATCCAGATTCGAGCCTGCGCCTTCCGCACTGCTTCCGCCGACCCCTTGAAGAAACTTTTGGATTGGCGTCCCAGCCGACACAGGTACAGATGTTTAATCGCTCACACTCGGACCAGCCAGGCGAGGCACAATCCAGTCTCATGTTTACTCATGTTGGCCAGGGGCATCAAGAGCTCATCAATGTTCAGTTCGGGGGCAGAGATAGCTTAAGTATGTAAGTAGGGTTCGTCGGATGTACCCTTGCTTGTCCGAGGCCCCTCAGCTACCCATACGCCTACTTTTTTTAACGCAGCTGCCCAGATGCCATCCACTACGGGTTCCTGAAACCCTGAAGTTCAAAACCATGCTTTGCCACTGCTCCTACTATTTCTTCGTTCTACTACTACCATGGTCAGTACAACTACCATCCATACAACAAATATCTCATTCTTTAATTACTATCCTGATTATCTTTCTGAATGTCATCTCAATCCGTATAGGTGTTTTCTGCTTGTGTTTCTTATTGGGGTTGCTACTTTTACAGGTCCTTTTCTATCACGTGGCCCAGCCTGGCCATCCACAAAGGAGCCATCGGCCTTGACCTTCCCACCTCTCGCCGCTGAGGTTGTGGGAGATTTAGAGGCAACTACAGGTTCAGAGGGGTTTCATGGCGATTCTGGCTTCTGGCATAGACGCTCATATATAGCCCATTATAGCCCATTATAGCCCATTGCCACAATGAAGGTGCTTAGAGCGCCGCTGTGTAGTTTTTGGGTTCAAGCCGCTTCCGAAGTCTGCCGTACTCACACCTCATGGTCCGATGGTGTTTCTCTCTTCAGAAGACTCGTGCTGATAAGACCCGAATGATGTCCATACATCTCGATCATGCACCCATTTGCACCCACAAGCCACCAAAAACCCATGGCACACAGACATGGGTGCTTTGTGCGAGGATCCTGGCCTTGCTTTCATGGTATTGGGTTGAGTGCAGGGCATACTACATCCGAAGACGCGCATGCGAGGCAAGGGGTGCGCTATCCTCAAAATCAAAAAACCCCAATCAGTGGTTCTCACCCCTCTGAGATCAGGAATCCATCAGCCTCAGGTAGCTCGAGAAAAGGAACCTGATACAACTCTTGGAATCAACGGAGCCTCGCATCACTTGAAGCTCGCCCTTCTTCACAAAGTAGATTGCGGCAAGATCTTCGCCTGCCGTCACCTTGCATCTTCTAAGGCTCAGAAGCCCTCACATCACCCCGAGGATGGGCAATGATGGCATGGTTTGTGAAATCATCTCGACAGGTTCTGGACAATTCAGAGCGTAGCTTCTCACACGTGCAAGACCGATGCAGGAACACAGAGACAGCAAAAGGTAAAGCTTCTGCTTTTCGGACTTTAGATTGTTGCCTGAAGAGTACAACGCCTACGTGGACTATCAAAATCTCACTGCTCAAGGCCCTGGAGCATCGTCTTAGGAGTCGCAAACGTTTCCTTTTCCCAGGCACCAATCTCGCGCCAGTATCGAAAACTTCTTTGAACGCCGATTCGGCAGCTTTCTCCTCAGGGACATTGCCATGCTCATGTAGTTGAGTTCCGATGCTGTCCACAACTGACCGCAAGATCGTTCTGGGCAATAGCTTTAAATCGCGGGTTGCAAAGCCGGGTTGCAGTGGGGGAGCTACAGCATGCTACATTGTCGCGGGTGAGTCCGATTCCCGATTCTATCTCTCCAGTACACGCTCAGGATTGATTTTACATTTCTGTGGGTTTGAAAGGTTGTGGCGGGACATACTTGGTCCCCTGAAGGCTCCTCAAGTTGTCCATAAACTTTCCTACTTAGAAGCCTTCGGCTGTGCCTTCTGGCTGTCTGTCAGTCCATCGAAGAGGCGGATGGAATCCTTACGTGAAGCCCAGCACAAGCACAGACTGTGCTGGCTGATGCTGGCTGCGGCTGTAGGCTTTGCGCGCGTATGGAATGCAGATCTACAGCAACACCAGGTACTGTCAATGACGTTCTCCTATGCTAAAGCCCCGAAGTGATGCCAAGGCGCCAGGAAAAGTCTGTAGTCCTGTTGGTGCCTTACACGGAGGTTCTCGGCAAGTTTTACGGGGGTGTCATACCCTTGTGTTCACCATGTGGAAAACTTGCTGCGATCTGGCACAGCCCAAAGGCCCCAAAGTGGAGAATGAAAGACCAACCCCGAACTCTCGGCAGCATCAAGAATATTAGCTTCCTTCGCAGGTTTCTGTTCACGTTTAGGGTGTTGGGGTGCAGCATTGTGCGGGATCAACCTTGGAGCAGTTCGTCAGATGTGTGTGTGTGTGTGTGTGTCTGTAGCAAAAAAAATGCCCTATTCTCGAACTAGCAAATTTTGATTATTAAATCTAAAATTATTAAATTCGTTCGACGCAAGAGATTTATATTCCCATTCTTTCTTCTACTTAATTTCGATTTGCAAAATTAAACTTTGTAAGTTTCAAATCTCAATCCTCAGTCCTAAATATTCGATTAAAATTTCGATCTTGAACTATCATTGGAGCATAAGTCTGGATTTGGCAACGTCCGATTTCGAAAAAGGAAATCGTGATCGTTAGTCCTCCGACTTAAGAGTCTTCTGCTCCCAAAGATGCCAATGAAGAATTAAAAGAAACGGAATCCAAGAACCCGCCGAAACGAAGACAACCACACAAATTTCGTGCTCTCCAAGACACCCCATTCGACGATATCAATTTTCAGCATCAATTCGTATATCTACGAATACAAACTCCTCGTATGAAAAGAATTATCCTTATATCTAACCAACTCGGAAATTTGAGTTTCGATTTTGGGTTTTAGAATCTAAATTCTAAACCATAAATTTTCTCACCGATTTCGATTTGACTTTTTGATTAAATTTTGCCGATTAAAGAGATTTAAATTCACAGAATTTCTGTTTCTATTAAATTTCGAGTTGCAAAATTTACATTCTAATTTCGGGTTTTTGGATCTAAACCCTGAATTTTCGATTTAGATTTTCGATTTATAAAGGGAATCGAAATAAACCTTAAATATTCGATTTCAATTTTCAGAACCACTTCGTGTTTCTAAGAATTCAACTTTCTCACTCAGAAAAGGATATCATTTTCGACTCTTCAGAATCTTGAATTTCGATTTTAGATTTTAAAACCCTAAACCTTAATTTTCTTCTTAAATTATCGATTTCGATTTAATTTTTTATTTTCACAAATACATTCTGATAATTGAAACGATTTATATTGCCAGAATCTCTTCTTCTAGTTAGTTTCGATTTGTAAAATTTCATTCGATTCTGGGCATTTTTTCGATTTATTTTTTTTTAAATTTCACAAATAAATTCTGATAATTAAAACGATTTATATTGCCAGAATCTCTTCTTCTATTTATTTTCGATTTATAAAATTTCATTCGGTTCTGGGCATTTTTTCGATTTAAATTTTCGATTTCAAAAAGGAATCAAAGGGCGACAAAGCCTACGTCAGTAACAAAATAATCCTTAAAAATTCGACTTCAATTTTCAGAACCAATTCGTATTTCTCAGAATTCCAATTACCTCATACTAGATTTTTGCCGAATTTACATTATTATTCGTATTGATGTGGGTCTCATAATTTCAAAATTCCTCACACAAAGAAAATTGTCATTGTCGATATATTTCGAATCTTAAATTTCGAGTTTTGGTTTAGAATCTAAATCCTAGATCATCGATAAATCCTCAATCCTAAATTTCAAGTTACATTTTCGATTGAGAATTGAAATTAGGGTCTTTAAACATCAATATCATTTTTTGAATCGAAATAAACCTTAAATATTCGATTTCAATGTTCAGAACCACTTTGTATTTCTGAGAATATCAAGTAAAAGCTTATATTGTTTTTCGATATTTTTGGAATTATAACAAGCCTCGAATATTCGATTTCGATTTTCAGAATCGAATCTCCTTCAATTTCGATGATGGGTTTTAACGAACAAAATCTAAACCCTAAATTGTATCATAAATTTTCGATTTCGATGTCATTATTCACACTCGATTTAGAGATGGGGAGTGGGAAAAGAGGAAGGAGGCAGCGGGGAAAAGGTAGGAAAGAAGTGGAGAGGGAATAGGGAAGGGGGAAGAGGTGAATGAAAAGGAAAAGGGGGCGAAGGACACAAAAGGTGGGGAAGCGGCGGGGAGGAGGCAGGAAGGAAGTGGGGGGAGGAGGCTCTGGGAGGGGGAGGGGGCTGGGGCGGGCGGGGAGCGCTCAGCCGGTGGCGGAGGGGAAGGGGAAGGGAGCACGCCCAAGCCCGGCGGCGGTTTCATCAAGCAAGGGGGATGGGAGGGGGAGCGGTCTCAGCCTGGCAGGCGGCGGCTTTGAGGGAGGCGTTTTAGAGGATGGAGGAAAGGGGGATGGGAGGGAGTGGAAAAAGGGTGGTGGGAAGAGGGAGGTGGGAAAGGGGGGGGGGCACGAGGGCAAGCGCCCCGAAGGCGCAACCGGTCCAGAATGAGGTTGAGCACCTCGCCCGGCACAGCGTCGCATTCTTCTGGATTCCACGGCGCCCACAGCTCGTTGCTTCTTTGGAGAAAAGGGTGAGCGCCCTTTCCAGCCTCCGCGGGGAGGAGCCCTCATCACGGCCCCGGGACCTGACCGAGGTCGATTTTTGAGAGGATTTTCGCTAAGGGCGGGGCGAAGTGACGGGGTCGGATACTCGAGGAGCTCGATTTCCAGTCGAGCCGGATGCCAGCCAAAAAAAACTCCTCGGCGAATTCGAAAACCCTCCAAGAAGCCTGCCTTTTCGCCTCATCGATCCGCGGGGAGGAGCCCTCATCCCGGCCCCAAGAACCTGACCGAGGTCGATTTTCGAAAGGGGCAGGCCGAAGTGACGTGGTCGGATACCTGAAGCTTCGGTTTCAACAACATCGACCCCAGAAAAAACCTGATGCGATGCTCACTGCAGGCTGACATGTCATGAGCAAACGAAGCAGGCACCGGTCGTTGTTTTAGCGCAGGCGGATCTCCCATAGGTGTACGTGCTGCCAAGCCTCTTTGGGCTGGAGCTTGCGAAGAAATGCTTGCAAAGGCCCCGCTTCGCTTATGCAGGGCTTACAATCGTGGGAGTACTCCCCGACGAATGCCTGCCGGTCCGATTCTTGGCCGTGAATGCGGACCGTTATACTCGTCCCCAGAGGCTTGCCCGGGCGAACGACCAGGATCGGGTTTTCCGAAACCCGAAAACCCAGCCGAACCCTCAAGTGTTCGTAGACCACCAGGTCGAGGCCACGTGTCCTGAAAAATTGAGAGGCTCGAAGAAATCTAGGCTCTAAGCTCACGATAAGCTCATGAAGGCTGAGTAGCTGACTCAAAGCTGTAGGCTGTAACGACGGAGTTCGCTGCCCTGTTCGGATCCATTCGAGCCTTCTTCAGCTGGTTTTTCGACACCTACAGGGGAATGCAGATGCCAGATAAATTATGATGCAAGACTCCCGATGGGGCCTTGGGGGCCATCTCTGCGAAGAGACTGTGGCGAATCAAAAGAATGCGAAGCTCGAGCCAACAGTCTACCGGAAACAGCGATTTCAAGTGCAAGGTCCCTTAGTTAGAGCTCTTTAGTGCCTTCATAGCGGTAGCCATCCCGCCGAGACGAGGAGGGTCGATAGCATCCGGTCGCCCCCCTTAAACCCAGATTTCCACCAAGCATGCCGGCAAGCACCCGCCGGAACGCGCGCGCAACTGAGCAGCGCTCCAATTTCAAAACCAATGATTTCAAATTTGGAGGAGTTCCCGATCAAGCAAAACGCAGGAATTTTTCATCGAATCCGAAAACCGAAACACCCGAAAACGAATGACGAGGCACTGATTCTGCACCGTGTCCAATTAACGGGCCGCCCCCCCCTGGAAGCACGCACCTTTTGGAAGGCAGCGGATGAGCATGATTGAAGGCTTGCTCGGGTTCTCGACGCACCGTTTCTGCCACCCTTCGACCTCGAAGTATGTGCAGGCTTCATTTGCAGTCCTCTCTCCCCAGCGCTCAGTGGCCAGAGCCACCAGCCCATCGACACGGTCCATGACCTCATCAAAGACCGCTGTCGTGATGTTGCTGCTGCAACCCAAGCGCCCAGGCCTGCAGACGGTCAGCAAGACCTTGTAAGGGGCCAAAGCCTTCTTCAAAGCGGCAGCTTGCCTTTCCCCCAATCGCATGGACACCATGACTTCCTTCGGGGAGGTGGGGGCGGGGAGGCGGGAGGGAGCACGCTCAGCCTGGAGGCGGCGGAGGGGGAGCGCGCTCAGCCCGAGCGGCTCAGAACTACGGGACCTGAGGAGGCGGCTGAGGAGCACGCTCAGCCCGAAGGCGGCGGCTCTGTGGTGCTGGGCCCCCGGCTCTGCGCTGTCTTTGCCTGGTGCAGCTCATGGTCTCTAGGAAGACAATGAGAAGCAGCGCAGTCCTCAGGCAGAAATGCCTCCAAGCCACAAGCCTCAAACAGTTGAAGTTGGTTGGCCTCTTCAAGCCTTGAAGCCCCAACCACGGCCTTAAACTTCCGGCTTTAAGCTCTCCATCTTGAGATCCACACTTTTGGAGCCTCAATCTCAACCCTTTTACGGGCTGGATCGAAATGACGCAGCCTTCGACACCAAAAGACCCGGTATGAACGCCCCAAAACACCTTAAGCCCCGAGTCAGGCTCTCTTCTCCGCAACATGACGGACATGGGGGTCGAGCCCCCGGCACGGATTCCCCAAAACACGTCGAAAGCATGAAATCTCCGACTTGGAAGACTTCAGTGTGAACCTAAGCTCTATATAGTATGGGTTTAGGGTTTAAGGTTAAGGGTTAAGGGTTAGGGTTTAGGTTGAGGGTTTAGGGTTTAGGGCTTAGGGCTTAGGGTTAGGGCTTAGGGTTTAGGGTTCAGGGTTTAGGATTAAGTCTCTGTGAGTGTGAGTGTGTGTGTGTGTGTGTGTGTGTGTGTGTTGTGTGCGTGCGTGTGCGTGTGCGTGCGCGTGTGTGTGCGTGTGTGTGCGCGTGCGCGCGCGTGCGCGTGCGTTTGCTTTTTTGTGTAATGGCCTCAAAGCCACCCTCCGTCCTCAAATTGGCCCCGCAGGCCCCAAGTTGGCATAATCAATGCTTAAAAGCCAAATCACCCAAGCCTTCTGCGGATCCCAGCTGCTGGTGAGCGTTCTCCCTCAGCGCCTTATGGACCGCCGCACCGTTCGCGCCCCACACGCCGCAGGGCGTAAGGGCCTGCCATCGAAGTCTGTCCGGGCATGGAGTGCTAGAGCAGCGGCTCTCTCCAAACCCTGAAGCTCGTCCTACATTCGGAGCACTCGATAATTCCCGACTTCCTCCTCTCCCAGAGCGCAAGGTTGATGGGTACCCAAAGTGAGGGGTGGCAGTGACAAGGAGAAACTGCGAACCCCCCCCCCCCAAATCCGTCTGCCACCTTGACGGTGGCCGTCCGAGGGCCTGGTGAAGCAGTGTCGTGCCAGGTGAGCATACATGGCCCTTGCGCTTGGACATCACAGCCAACCAACTTTCTGCAAACAGAGTCACAGTTGTACAGGAGCGCCAAGCTCCCAAAGGCTTGGCCTAAGTACTCCAGGGGCTGTCAGTGTCAGGGCAGTGTGGCTTGCATGCGGTTTCAGCGCGTGACACCTATGACACATGCTTGCACAACCATAAGACGATGTTCCCGTTTAGGAACGTCGCCTTCGGAGACGGTGTTGCAGACGTTGCCATTAACACTCACCTGGTCCAGGAGGTTGCGAACAGGCGTGACATGTTCACATCCCAAAGGCCCAACAGCCAAACCTGCCAAACCCCAAAGCCCAAAACACAAAAGCCCTCTAAAGACACAAGGGCATTTTCAACAGCCCAACCCAGAAGCATGCATAGGGGCCCTTCACCAAAATTGCTTTTGCTTTATCTGTAGTTCTGTCTGCAAGGCTCCGTGCCACACTAGCGATCCCACAACAGGATCAACATGCAGGGCGCATTGGAGATCACAAAGCAGGCCTGAGCTGAACCTCAAAGCCCGTGAGCCCTCGAGGGAGACAGAGGTTCTGAGAGGAGGGCCAACCTGAGGCCCAAGGCTTAACGGCCCTACGCTCTTGTCAAGCTCTGGCCCCCAGTGTTGGACATCGGCGTTTCATGGCGTTGCCATTGAAGCACGCACTTCGACGACTTATAGGGCTACTAGGGTTTGAAGCGCTTCTTCATCCTGCTTCGGAGATATGGTTTGCTGCGAGCCTGCAGCGAGCCAGTCTGGGCCACAAAGAAGGTGTTCCCAGTCGTTCCCTGCTCCACCACCGCCTCCGGGCTTCCGTGGTTACACGGATAAAAGCTTCCCCCTCTGCACTGTCAACTCGTCCCTGACCCTCACAGAAATGCTCGAGAGTTTCTTCTGATCCTTCTACCTGGGACATGTCTCTGGCTACAGTCAGATTCACACTCGAAATCATTTACAGTAAGCTCTACTTCGGACCGCATCCCGCACCTCCCCAGGCTGGAACTGGAAGAACTCCATCGCTGACAGGATGGCCTTCAGGTTGGTCTGATTGACATAACCCCGAAAGTTTGAAAGCCTCAACTCATCCCTTTGACCATGTAAACAGGACACGTCCTAATGGCGTTTCTTTTCTTCAAGTATCATGTCTTAAACACGGTGCCAAGTCGAACGGCCGGAAATTGCGATGAAATTCGCGGCGGCCTCCGGCCCTGAAGTTAAGACTGGCCCGGCTGCCGGGGCGGCGCGAGCAAGCGCTTGCAATTACTTCTGTTTGAATTGAACTCTGCTGTCGTCGGCGTCCTTTTCGATGATAAGCATTACGCCCAGTCAGCAGAATTGGATTTCCTCTGTACTTCTTTTTGGTGTCTCTGGTTTCTTGTCTTGGATAATTGCTCAACTTCCTGCAGACAGCTCTCCGCTGTTTGGACGTGTCTTGACATTCCTTTGTCTTTGCATGTGAACGAAAGTATTGAGCGACGCGAGCAAGCAGAATTAAACCCGTTCTTTGAATTTGGGAGAACAAATTCGTTCACTTTGTCTCGCTTCAATCGCAGTCAGATGAAAACACAGCTTCCAGATCTTGGGAAGCTTCCATCCTCACGTAGAAATCTGTCCTGGAGCTGGTGCCTTGAGTCAAGGGCAAAGAGAACAGGCGCCCTGCGGGCCGGGCATTCTCTTGCTTGGGCCCCGAGGACTTCTCTTTCAGCTGGAGTTGGAGCTATCACAGATCAGTACATAAGTTCTGCCAGAAAGCATTTGCTGCAACAAGGCAAAGTATACCGACACCGGTCCATGTGGGTCTTTGTCTCTTTTGCGCTGTTGAGCAGATGAACGCCACACTCATAAGTTCGTTTCAAATGTAATCCAAACAAGCCCTCAAACTCCAGAAGCACAGCCCAGCCATGTGCGAAGCCTGGGCAAAGAAAGCTGACAGAATCGTCTGATTTGAGTCCGATTTTGAGCCCGAGGGAGGCCGACCTCGGCCTCCTTGTCGCCAAGGACGGCACAGACCCGATCCAGCTTCCTGGGCGCCGTTTGCAAGGCGGAAACTGCCCATCTGAGACCTACAGATAGGCAATGTGCCGTTGAACCCCTCTCATGGCCGCGGGTCATCGCTTCTCTCAGGAGGCTCCGCACGTTCGCTGTCAGCGCGCGCTGAGCCTCGAAACATCTGGGATCGTGCTTCTGCGCTTCTGCTCTTCACGCAGAAAACTCCTGAAAGCCTGCTCATTTGACCCTTCAGAGGCTCCGGCCCTGTGTGTCGCTAGGTGGACTTCACCCTGCTCCTCGTCGCCCGCAGCAGCGCCCACGCGGGCCTTGTTGCCCTTCCCTGAGCAGAGCAGCGCATGTGCTTACTTTAGTCGAAAACTACTGCCTCGAGCCTCGTACTCCGAAACGCGACAAAAGCTTCCGTGTCGAAGCGCAGGCATGAGGCTTGAATCTTGAACACGATGGAGCGCACTCAACACAAAGAAACTCTGTAAAACCCGTAAAACTCCCAACGTGATCCGTAGTCCGGTACTCCGCAAACTCTTTACGCGCCCCCGCTTTGACTTGAAAGCCAGCCCCCGGACCGCAACGCAACGCAGTCTAAGCATCTCAAATCCGAACCCCAAGGCCCTAGACCACCAAAAACCTCCTAAGGCAACCCTTAACCTTGAGCGAGTTTCTTCCATCACCACGCTTGCGCTCCAATCGCACCTCCCAATCAAACTGGCTCTTTGCGGGCTTTTGGCGAGTCTATCGGTTTTTACAAACAGTACCAGCTCTCCGAGAGGATAGACTTATTTTGTGGAGGAAACCTTCGCTTTCAATTGTGCTGGAAAAGCTTCTACATTCTTCTTCTGAAATCTTGGGTCAGATCTTAGAAGCCTATTTCGACAGAGGGAGTTGCACGTGATTAGACTGATGACCAATCCCTTTGGGTGCGAAGCGCTTCAGAACTGTGAAATGAATCACACTGGAGTGAGAACTCTGGCACAATGAAAGTGGGATGAACGAGGACTTCGAGCACAGCCAGGCTTTAGGCATTCAAGCCACCAAGAGATGATGGCCCAGCAGATTTGGGAAAGCGGGCCTTTCTGCTGCTTCCACGGCCGAAGAACCACACCGCAACACCCACAGGGAAGCTTGACTCTCTGACACGAAAGCCTTTCTTTTGCACGCGGAACTCGCGCTGCCCTTACCCGGCGGAATCATCCCCCCCCCCCCCTCCCCCTACCCACCCGAAAGTCCCCCGACTTTACCCGCTCCCAACCTCAGCTTCGGAGGGCGGAAGAAGCTCGGTCCCATACTCCGCTCGCGGTGTTCTCGGCGAAACCTGAGAGGTTGGCTTCTTGGGTTGTTATGACATGGTCAAGTGATGTTATCTATTTAGGCAATTATTCAGAACCAGGCTTGTCCAGGCTGCATGGGCAACTACATCTCAACACAATGCCGCTTCATGACAATACCTTAGATTAGAAACCCTCTCCTGGATTTCATCGGTTGTCCTTTACCAAACTGTATGCAGATGTGCCGCAGATGCGGAGTAGTGATGCGTGCTGCCCCACACACCCACACCCACACCCACCCATGCACACACGCGCACACACACTCACAGAGACAGAATAAAGGGGCAACCTGCCAGACCCTGCAGCAGAAAACCAGCCGGCTTGGTGCGGATACACACACATACATTCGAAGGCACTGAGCATCATCAGACAAATCCGAAATCATCAGACAAATCCGAAATCGCTTTGAATGGCAAGCACGAAACTCCACACCAACACATGCTGCAAGGCAAAGTATGCTCAGCTTGCAACACCAAGCCGAATGACAAAAGCTCCCCAGTCGTTTCATGAGATTAAAGTGGCTAAAGCATGCGACTCTTACGGTCCTTGCAAGTCCCCATGCCAAGAATCCAGGCTTGGGCATGTGCAGAGCCCCGACCGGCGCCCCCACGCTCTCTAATCGCTGGATCTACCATCCAAACTGATTGCTGAGGTTTCTTTGGTGCCAGAGATGTCAAGCCTGACACAGCCCTCTACAATCTGTCGCACCAAGGTCCAGGCCTCAGTTTGAGGGGCCGTGAAAGATTGGCAGAAGCTGCACCCGCTGCTGTTCGCGCCCATGGCTGCGAAATCTAGGACCTTCCTGGCTAGCGGGGATGCTCGGCTTTCTCGGCTTTAGGATCTTGTTAGGCCCTCGACTTCGATGACGTCACATGGGGTTTCAGGTGGGGTGGGGGCTAGGCTATCTGGCTATCTTAGACTCAGGGCTTAGGGAAAGGCCCTTGAATCCCTTTGAGCCCTTGGGTTCCAAACCCGATGAGGGTACTTGTGGAGCCAGACGCGAGGCATGCATCATCTCGGTCATGTCTAGTTGCCTCTAAAGCCACTAGTGGCCTTCGTGGTTAAAAAGCCCCCCTGACACGACTCCATGCACTTCCCTTTCGTAGGCAGCTGCGTGGCATCGGGAAGGCTGTCTTTGGCCTCCTTGCTCCCACGAAGGAGTGTGCATGTATTTTGGGGAAATCGAGGGTGCTCACGCGAGGTCCCGAATGGGGTAGGAGCGCCAATCGCCCTCGCCTCCAGAACCGGTTCTAGGGATGGTGAGGGCTAGGGCCGGGGAGCGGGCTAAAGTTCAAGTCGAAGAAGCTTCTGAGCAACTCACTGGCAAAGCTCAGAGGGGAAGTGGCAAGCACAAACAATTGAAAAGACGTGTAAACACAAGCCAACATGTGATGACGCTGGCGGGTGCGGCATGCTCCTGGGCTCCTGAGCGAAGGGAGACCCAAGTCCTTTCTCAAACCCGATACTCAACACCTTCTAAGACATGCCTGGAGTGTCTTCAACACTACACCCTACAGTGTACAGTAACTCGACCCGAAACCCCAAAGCACCCACTACTCTGCTGACACCTGCCGTACTGACTCTACTGCTTGAAGAGGCCCTGCAAGTGAAGCCTCGGCGTTGAGCCTCGCGCTCTGCCTGCTGGCGCCCGGCGAGAGGGCCGAGGTAGTCACAGACCACCTTGCAGGGAGGTTGAACAATGGAGTTTCAGCCATGCTGCTCGTTGGCGACCGACCAAGGACTCTTGTGTGGATAGTTGGTGCTGGTCTTGGTTCGGCTCCTTGAGTTCCTTGGGCGCCACCGAAAAGCAACTGTTGGCGCAATCCGAGAGTCCAGCCAAGAGAGCTCGAGAAACCCAACATGCCACACCTACACACCTTGAACGCGGCCCGTGGAGAGCAAAAATCTGGAACGAGGCGGTCCATTGATCCATGGATGCCCATCGCCCATCATAGCCCGCTCCGGCTCTTCTTTGGGGCATGAGGGGCGAACCCCTCTCTCGCTCGCTCGCTCATGATCAGTATGAGAACTGCGGATATCAGGTCAAAGGACTCAACAAATGAAGACAATACAGGATGACAGATAGTGAATCTTCAAGGAATGGGCGCTGTCGTACCTTCTCAATCAGGAAGTTCGGGACTGGACAGGGATAGATCGAGAGCACTGCAGCAATTGTAGCAACTGCTTGGGCGGATCGGACTCCAGCGGGGCCTGCCAGTCCTCAATGGTGGACTCCAAGAACTCATTGAGGCTGTAGTTCGTGGTTTGATAGCGATCGCTGACCTAGGCCAGAATACCCATGAAGACTCCAGTTCTGACTGCAGATTTGTTTCGTCTGATGAATCTGCCTTCCTTACACCGGGTCCGAGCGGCGGTGGTGTGCCAGCAGTACACAGGTGACCCTGGCTTGACGCAGTTGTCGGCCACGATTCCTGGGAGGTGGCGGGAGATAGTTGAGGCATTTTGAAGAGCAGGCTCGAGAGCAGGCCACGCGCAGGTTACATACACGTGAATAGGTTCTACACTTCTTGAGTCAGCCTATGCACCAAGTAGCCACTGTGCCACTATGCTTGCAGGTTTATGCTGGTCCTCGGTAAACACCCCACATCACTTCCCCCGAGAGTTATGCAGCTGAAGGTCGGCAGTTGGGGAACATCAGGTTGAGTTCCTGGCTCCATACTGAACCATTCTTTCTAAACAAGTGGCCGAAGTGCTGTTGAGAGATTTTGAGGCTTCGAGTTTGGGATCTGGAGTTTAGGGCCAATTTGGCACCAAGACTGTGTCAGCATCAGGATCAGGCTTTTTTCCTCAAGAGCTCTGCTGCTACTGAGAAACCTTCAAACTCCCGAACCCCAAACGCTAGCACTTGCATGTCTTGTGGAGCATGGAGTCAATTGCTTGGTCGTGTTTCGTGCGGAGCGGGCGGGGCGGGACTGCACCTTCGTACAAACACAGCGGTTCAGGGTCAGCAGGTTGCTACGGACATGCTACAGGTAGAAGACTGTTTTCAAGCTTAGGTCAACAAAACGTGCCCCCCTGCGATTTATTCTTGATTAATTCTTAATTGATTCATATTTATCTCCTCAAGTGACGCTGGCCTCCAGTTGGGAAAGGTCGTCGTGGAATGTTGTGCCCCTCTGATCCATGAAGACCATGTTCAGACTCATGTCTCCGTGCTCCTGGAGTGGCCAGGAGTGAAATACGACCCCTTGTGCCTATGCCAGTATTCAAAACCACACCTTCCATGACCTAAACTGGTTCAAGTCCATGACTCTATGTCTTGAAAAATACTCTTGCCACTCGCGGATGAGCTCTTGCTTGGTTATTGCTTCTTTCCTTCGGATACTCCGATTCCGGACGTTGCCTATCGGTACTGGTGGCAAGCAACACGGGAGCTCCTGAAAACCCACCCCCAACATTGAGCCATATCGGCCTCAGTCAATCGCGGGATCAGGTCCTTGACTTGCCCAATCCACACCTGGCAAGGCTTTGTTGAGACATCGACACCAACTCCTGCTTGGAGGTGCACGTGGGGTTATCGAGGCGACACCTACAGCATCCTACAGACCGTTTAAGGCCTTCTCCATGGACATGGCTACTCAGCGGCTTCTGAAATGCGCATACAATGCATGCGCGTCCGCGCGTCCCACGAAGTTTCGACCAAGATCTCCTTGTGACAAAGCCCGAAGCCCTGAAGCCCTAACCGGCAAATCGCTCGGCCGATTGCAGCCTCCACGATGTGGGAGAGGCGGCTCATGTCCAGGACATGTCGGGCAATGCACGCATGCACCTTTCATACTCTGCCCTTCTGCTGGAAGCTTTAAGGCGACTCCAATTCTGGGACTCTAAAGCAGTGGCCACCTGAGTTGAGGATTCTGGCTTGTGAGAGTAGACCCTAAATTGCGAAGGCACGGGATCAATCTCCATCGACGTGATCCTGTTCGCACCCTGGAGCCGCGAGTCCTCGAAGAGGATCGAGCCGTCGGCATACCTCACTGATGTGTGCGCCCCACCAACACACAATGCCCTGCAAATGTGGGGTCGGGGGGCACATAGGGGGTAGGGGGTATAAGGGGTCTGTGCAGGGTATACATAAGGGGTATATGGTAGGGTATAGGGGGTAGGGGTATTCGGGGGGTACAGGGAGTAGGGGGACCACGCAATGCCTTACGTAAACCTGTGGTTATGCGTTGAACACTCGTTCTCTAGCAGGCCATGGGCCCGAAGCCCATATTCCAAGCCTTCCAATAACTCTAGGAACTCTGGTAGCCTTGGGGCCTTGCCCCTTGTGGCATGTGAGGGGATCTGATATGACCAGCGCTTTGGGCCAGCAATACCCGATGCTGAATACCCATGTACCCGTGGAGTCGGAACTTACTGCTTGTCACCAATTGTCACCTCCCGAAGCCCGCACTAAGCCCAACACCGTCCCTAAGCTTCGGCCCACGAGGCCCCTGTTCGTAGGTCCGCTCCACGGCGCGACCCATGCGGGTGGCTGTGTAGCCCACCTTTCTGCTGTCCGGTATCAAGGATCTGAGTCGTAGGAGTTCCAAACTCTGATTTAAAAAGCAACATCTAAACCGGAATCGAAACACAACTTTTGCTTCAACACACCCTTCACCAAGGGGATGTTCATGATGCAGTACGTTTCAGTACATTCGTGCAAGGGAGGCCCAGCACGTGTCTCATAAGGTGCGATAGATATTTCCCGAGGTTGAGGCTCTAGATACTACTTTTGCATCTAGACCTCTAGGTCCTCTTCAATTTAAGGTTATCGTAATATCCGCATTCGTCGCCAAAATCGCGTTATCGTTGGTTTCCTTCCGCAGCAATCTATTCTTGATAGTACATCGTTCGTGGCAGGCTGAGTTGGCTCGATTTTCAGGGGGGGGGGGGGGGCGAGGTTTTTGTGAGGTGGTCGTTCATTTGCAATCGCACTGGATTCCACGTTTCCGTGAGCCAGCTGATTGATTTGCAGCACTGGTCTGGCGTTGGAACCGACGTTTTCATGAGCCGGCTGGATAGTCATGGAGTTGGCATCAGCTTCCATGAGACGGTGGGACCTCATTGATTTGTACCAATACTGCTGCAATTTGCAAGTAGGGGACCAAAGCTAAATGCGGCAAAACTTTAAGCAGACCTTTCCACTCTGTCATCAAGCGAGAGGGTGGGGACCCCTCGAAATAAAGCACATGTTTTTCGACCTTCTCATCCCTTCATTCTCTACAGTAGAGCTTCAGGAGTAGCATTTTTCCTTTGGAACCCAACTGCGGCAACCCTCTTGAGCAGGTGGGTCACAAAGCTGCCGAACTCCACCATGGTCTTATGCCTTGTGTGTCAGAAGGCTAACGCGGGAGACGGTGCAAGGAAGCTGCGAATACCTCTTAGACTCGCTTTCGGAGATCCAAAGGTGAGAATCCCAGCTGGAGTGTGATCTACAAACGGGCAGCAATCTCCTTTCTTCCAACATCAACATGAGCCCTCGAGATGGGAGAAACTTGCCCAAATAAGTCCTTGGTATTCCTTGGTCCTCTGCTTAGACAAAAGGCTGTCACAGTGCCGACTTCAGGATGTGCGGACCTAACGAGCCTGCCCTGTTGAGTCAAATGAAGACTCAGGCTCCCCCTCTGGCGATGCACTTCCGTACAGTCCTTGCAGCTAGATGTTGAGTTCACGCGAAAGTGCTGAAGAGTCGTCCAGGCAACCAACCTCCAATTTTCTTGTGACTCTAGTTGGAGGGAAAAGTGGGGACTCCCTTTTCCGGCAGGCTTGGATCCTGTAAGTGTGGCTGAAGAAAAAACATCCTTGGCAAATGCTTTCGCAGCAGTCAGTCCACCTTGATCAAATTCAATGGTCTAAGAATAGAGACGCAACGTGTCGCGCCAAACATTCTTTCAGGGCCATCATAGAATTTCCGATACGAGAGGACGCTGTCGGAGCTGGAATTGCCGCGGCTGCTCTGGATTCTTGAGTTGCTGCGCTTCTCATGACCAAAAACTTACACGACATGGATGCTGCATTTCTTGCCGCCACACCCGTGTGTCAGGATCGTGTATCGATGCTGTACAAGCCGTCTATCCCAGAGCCTGTCCAGAACCAACCCTGATTCTCCAGTACCTGTCGCTGCATTGGTGGTGATGGATAGTGCCCCAGTCTGAGATCTGTGCTGTCGGTGGCCTCTGCTGATTCCTTGTGTCATGTACGTCGGACGTCCAGCCCTGCGCTACGGTTCCGTACTCTTCAAATGACCTTTTCAGCATCCGAGTGAGTATCTGAACATGCCTTGGTGTTTGACTGCTGTAGCCTTGCGGCTCCTCATGATTTCCGTCATGAATACTCTCTGTCCATCAAGCAACCAGATGCTACAGCTTATATAGTATATGAGATGAGATGCTCTGTCAGCGGTCGGCTGCCGATGCTATGCTGGAGGATCTCGGCCTTGTCATCGCCAGCAACCTTCGCGTGCAAATGGAGGGCTCTTTGGAATCCCTTGAGGGGGTTTTGGGATTCGTTGCTTCCATGACAGCAATCAGATCCTTTCACATCCGGAACGGAAACTGTCCATCAAGAACCCTGCCTTGAGCCACTTCCCAAGGCCCTGGGCGAACTTGTCGATTTCCTTAGGAAAGCTTTGTTTCAGGGTCTGATGCTGATACAGTTCTTGGGATGTTATGGCCTATTGAGTGGCAAAGGCAGACTGCACATAAACTTTTCGACTGGGAGCCCTCAGCACCCAATCTGCTGTGACCTTGTGCCCACCACCCATGACCTGCCCGAGGACAGTGACATGTTTCATGGGCTGATACGTGGGGAAAGAAACTGATCACATGAACCTCGGATTTGAGAAGCAGCTGCTATGCGAAGCATATACACCCAGCCAAACACCGGCCCGGCACCTGCATCTCCCATGTTCTGGTCTCAAGATGCTCCACCAGCATTCCCAGCTTTCGGTACCTCGCTGCAGACTGCGAAAGCCCCCATAATTCTCGGACCCTTTAACCATTTGGCAACCTGTTGGGCTAGTGCGGCCTGCCACTCAGCCCAGGCTCCAGGTCCAGGTCTTTGTGGGGATTCTTTGGGGGGGAGGAAACCCGAAGGGAGCAAATCCGTTCTGAGCCCTTGGGCCACAAGCTGAGCCAGGGACCCAGTCGAAAGTATGCCGGCCAAATGCATTGAGGAGAAAGCCTGATTGAAACTGTTCAAAGAGGCACCCCGCGCAATCCAAACACTCACTGCACCTTGAATGTGTTTCTCGTCTGAGCTTCAGGCATCCAGTCTGGGACGTGCAGGATCGTCCTCTTCTTCGTCTTCATCATCATCTCCAACCATCCGCTGGAGGGGACTAGGGAACTTGTTGCAAGGGCCGTCGAGCGACGGCAGTGCCATGCTACATGGTTGTGTTCTTTCGTGCTGCAGTTGCAGAAGCCAGATGAAACATGTAAGCTTTGTCCCTATTTGTCCCTTTCCCGTGAAGCAGGGCATCTGTTCAACATTCTGTCCCTTGAAGCTGTATCCAAGTGGGCCGCAGCTCAAGGCCTCAAATGGCTGCCGTCGTCTTTGGGATAGCTGAAACTGATCCCAGACTTTGAGGTGTTAATAAGGGGATTTTGCGGGGTTTCAACACGAACAAGAGAGAGCGCAGCGTTGACAGCATTTGCGACCGTTCTTGGCAACATCGCTAGCTGTGTGCCGGCTGCGATCAGGGGTGTGAGGAACTCTCATGGTGCCATATGTCTGACTATGACGATGCGAGCTGCAAGCCACACCTCTTTCCATGACTAGTGACTAGGCCCTTCTTTGGGGCCGTCGGCCGCCGCCGTGCCGCTACGAACATCCGCGAAAGCACCCCTGAGCCACCCTGATGGTATAGCTGGGCGCTCGAAGTGGCACCTCGGCTGTGCTGCTGAAACGAGTTGCTGCTGCACCACTGAGAAAGCCCATGTCGGTCCTGGTCTGCTGAAAGCAAGGCGACAACCTTCATCATCGTGATGCGCAATGTATTATGTTGCAGCTGCCGCGCCAAGCAGGCCAATCATCTGCAGACCTCATGGATGTCAAACGGAGAAAGCCAGGATAAGATTTTCCAGGTTTAGGTTAATACGAAGGTGTTCGGGGCTTCTGGGCCGCTGGGGGGAGACATTGTAGGTTGATGGTGAACAGACGGTGAACAGTTCAAGCCGTGCTGGGCTCCTTGTTGCCGGGTCCCTTTCATGCACCTCATGAATCCCCGTTCTGATTTGGGACCGTGGCATCCCCTCAAGCAATACAAGGGCTCCTCCGTCGAAGTCAAAGGCAAGGACTTTTGGCTCAAGGAGAGCTCAATCGGGAGGCGGCAGCAACAAACACCAACAGAGAGGAGAGCCGAGCTGCCCTTCTGCCACCGCTGAGCCTTATGATCGCAGAGCCAGCAGCTACTTTTCTTGGTCACCAAGACATGCAAAAGGCATCTCAAGCACACCTGTAGCGATGATATGGCCCAAGGTGCTCGAAGTATGATCATGACAAGTCTAATGACGTGTGTAGTCTGGCACGTGTTAGGAGCGCGCACGAAGCAAAACACCCATCTCTGAGCTTGGCCTAGGAGCCCTCCTCCTCCGGCGCCTCTCGGAAGACCTCGAGCTGCTTCTTGAGGATGCCTCGGAGTCTCGGAGCTGGGCTTCGGGAATTCTATCGAATTCTTCTTGGGATCTTGGATGTAAAGTGTGTGAACTGTGTCACAACATGGGGATGGGTCTAAGATTGGGGGACTTCAGGTTTGCAGGTTGAGAAATTGCAAGGAACGCAACTGACCGGAGTTTATGGACCCGATCCCTCCCATGTCTGGACAAGATTCTATTGGCAGCACGTGCTGCCTGGCAAAGTGCGCCATCGAAGATGTCTACAACGTGGGGCGCCTTGTAGACAGCACCTTCTCAATTCAACGCGATAAAGGCACTAAACGTATTGCCAGGTTTCAAGGCGGAGCAAAGATATGAGGTTGTTGCCGAATAATTATTTGAAATCCGCGCGTCTTTCAATATGTGCTCTGAGAGGGATCCCGCTTCCTTGAGTGGCCACGAAAAAGCGCTTGGAGCAGGCCCTGCCTGCCAAGACATAGAACACATCCTGCAGCATCGTGGCAACTTGGGACAAGCTTTACCCATTGCAATAATTTCATTGCGAAGACCTACACCCCCGAAACCCAGCTTCCCACAGAACCATCGGCCCTCCTGCGCGATGGCAGGCTCCCCGGCTCGTCGCAGCACGCGCTGCAAGACGAAGATGGAGGTCTCAAGGCGCCCTGGTCGGAAATTGAATGCACGTTGGCCATGCAAAGTGCAACGTGGGTTTAGTGGCCAATAGTAGTAGATAGCGCATCATAGCGCATCAACCTTCACCACTGGCCCAGCGAGACTACAATGTTAACCCAAGATTCTCATCGACCTCAGGCAGCATACCCACAAAAGCCCCCACATGTTCTCCATCCAGGCCCACTCCAACGAACACATCGACTGTGAAATCAACGATTTTAGCCGACATTCCATCTCACGCGGAGTTGGCAGGTTCAGCAGGGTTCAGGGCAAGCTTGCTGAATGGAGAGATCGCAGCACGAGCAGCGACATTCATACATTCCAAGCAAGAGTCCAACATCTGTGGGTTTTGGATCGATGTCGAGGCCTTCCCGCGCATCTGCGTTGGCCGCCGCCACTACAAACTCGATGCCCGCAGCCCCTGCCTGGATAGCCGCTGGGGTGTCTTCTTCTTCGGTGTTGCTCCTTCTGCAACCGAGACCCTACTTACATCTACTTGCTGCGGCAAAAAGCCCAAGGCTTGCTGCGACTCCTGGTCTGACATGGAGCCCACATCTCCACATCATGCACGTCATTTATAAACTTCGGGATAACCGCTGGTACGTCTCCCGAGTGATCCCAAGCATCAGGAACGGAGGGTTTCAAGCGAAGCCGCCCTGCACCCCCCAAGTGTCCCAAACCCCTCGCCTCGACGCGTTGCCCGCGACGGCGTCGTTCATTGACAGACTCGGGGCCCCCACAGCGGAGATAGAAGGGTGAGGTGTAAAAGTAGTCCAACCTGAGGTCCACCCATGCTTTGTGGCACCGCTCTTGGGAAGGTACTTCAGGACGCTTGCGTCTTCTTGCGTCCTTTGTTGACGCAAGACCCCATGCTGCATGAGAGAAGCCCCGACAATATTGCTGAGTAGCTGGAGTGCACATGGAGGCACAGCCTACAGCCTAACCCCACAGTGCACATGGCACAGTGGAACTCAATGACCTGAACAAAGAACCTCTACACCAGGCAGAACTATGTCAAGCAACACGTTGGACACGTTCAAGCCATGCCTTCGCAGAAAGTCTTCGTTCCTCAAGTGCATTCGATTGCAGTATGGCCATGGTTTCGTCTCCTGCTTTGGCTTTGTCTTGAGCAAAGTAGCACAAGGCTGCAAATTCTGGCAGACTGGGCGGTCGTTGGGGGGAGGTTTCACAGGCCACGCTCTAGCAACCTTGCTCATCCGGCAAAGTCGTCTTCAGACATCCCAGCTTCTTCCACTGGCTGTGAGGCAGAAGTTGCAGGCCGGCTAGGCGGCTGTTACGAGTCAGCTAGATGCAGCTGTGCGTCACAAAGCTCAGTTGTGCCAAGTCTTCCATGCTCATGGCTTGAATCACGTGCCAATGGAGGAGGCCTATGTCTGTGCCATGCGTGGAGCGTTCTGTCTTGGAATGTGGTGTGGGAAGGTGCAAATGTCTGGGAACCGTCTGAAAGCACAAGAGAAAATTGCAGCTTCAGTCGCGTTGGGCGGAGAGTCGTAGACATGAGCTCCGGGTTACACGCTGAGTGTCGAGCAGCTGTTGGGTGTCGGTGACTTTGCAGGTTAGGCACTTCGCTACGGCCTTTCCAAGCATCCCGCAGCCCCAACGCGCTTTTTGCAGCATGCAAGTCTAAGGCGTGTCGTCCGCAAGGTTCATGGCCGCGAGATTCTCCTGAAGAGTCGCCGCCTGGGGTGGATTCGTACACAGGAGTTCCGGGTCCCAATGAGAGGTTATTGCAAAAGATGCAGCATGGCGCAGCAAGTCTATTCAGAATATTTATGATCTGGGAGGCCTGAGTGAGACTGCTTCAAGACAGCGGCACGAAACAGGGGAACGTTTCGGGTGCCTTGCAAAGGCGAACAGCTCCATGGCCAATTAAGGCCGATCTTTAAAGCTTGCCGAAAGCAGATTGCGTTCGCTCATGATGGCTCTGTGAAGTCTTCCAAGCTATCGCTTGGGAGCACCAGAGAGGGTTGTCAAGATCGCCAAGAATCATGGGAAGCATGGGCTTTTTAACACGTGAAGTTCTCCCAAAACCCTTGAACAATATTGTACCCCCCCTCCCCACATGCACTCTGAGCTTGTTAACGCTGAGGCCCCCAGCCAAGGGGTGCTTTAGTGCCCCGAATGTGGGGCTTGGCATGGAACGGCCGGTACCTGGAACCAGCTTCCCTACCAGGATTCTATGGTTCTGCTACGTGATCGGAACTTCTCAATTTGCTTGTCCATGCTCGTCGCTGCTTCTGATTTGATGGTACCTTTGTAACATTCCATTTGGACATCCAAAGCGTGCCATACGAGTAGGGCTTCTGTCGCAAGAAGGCATAGCGGCATGGCATGCGCATAATACTTCCTGCTACGCAGCGAAGCTCCGATACTTCTACACGTATCGCAGCTGATTGAACTCTAAACCCAACGCTACATCCTCAACCCCGGCCTCCCAGAGGCACGGAAAAGTACTCGCGGCATCGCCTGGCATTCACATGCAACGAGGCTCGGGGTTTCCATGAATTTCCACTCAAGCTGGGTGCAAACCTTGACATTTGGGTGTGGGTCATAGTTTTGCCATGCGAAGTTCCTTGCTGGTTCTCCGTGACTATCACACCCGGCCCTCCCTTGAAGCTCGCGGGTGCGGCCAGTTCATCTCGTCATTCCCCTGCAAGCGTCTGACATCTCATGAGGAGTTTCACGCAGGCACAAAAGAGTTCGGTGTAGGGTGGGGGTGGGGGTGAGGCCACACCGCATACTTCAGGGCGCAGCTTCTTAACCAAACGAACAACCTGAGAAAACCAGAGCTCTCAGACATTCCCGGCTCGGCGATGAGGTTGGCGCTGCTCTATCTAGGTTGCGAATCGAAATAGAAATCCTGAACGTCAACCACCTTGCCCAACCGCCGACGTCAACACCCCAAGTGGAAACCCCACTCCATGGCCCTCGTCGGCATAAGTCCTGTGCGCTCAGCCCTCATTGCCTCTATGGAGGTTTCGCCGCAGCTTCCAGCCGAGAGTCGTCTAGAACAAGCAGACCCTTCCCTTCCCCCGCACTGACTGAAGTCCCCCCCTGGGACCTTCTCCATGGCACCCCCCGGTTCCGGGACACTCCTGCTCTAAATGATGGCCACTTTGAATGTGTATATTTAGACAAATTACAAATAAATAAATACACACACATATATATATACATATATATATATATAAATACATATATAGAGAAATATGTATGCATATATGTATATGAATATTTAGAAAATGGGACGCTGTGGGAGTGCACTTTTTCCACAAAGAACACGCAAAACTTCAAAAAACCCTAAAAACATACGAAAAACGTGCAACAAGAAATAAACCACACAAAATCCCTACAAACAAAAACAATGAAAAAGAAACAAGAAAACCAAAAAAAAAACACAATCCTGAGGGACTCTGTTGGGGAGCCGGACCCCTGGGAAGAGTCTCTCAGGATTGGTTTTTTTGGTTTTTTTGGTTTTTTTGGTTTTTTGGGGATTCTTGTCCAAGAGAACCAAAAAAACAAAAAAAAACAAAAAAACCAATCCTGAGGGACTCTGTTGGGGAGCCGGACCCCTGGGAAGAGTCTCTCAGGATTGGTTTTTTGGTTTTTTGGGTTTTTGGTTTTTTGGGGATTCTAGTCCAAGAGAACCAAAAAATCCAAAAAAACCAAAAAAACCAATCCTGAGGGACTCTGTTGGGGAGCCGGACCCCTGGGAAGAGTCTCTCAGGATTGGTTTTTTTGGTTTTTTTGGTTTTTTTGGTTTTTTTGGTTTTTTGGTTTTTTGGGGATTCTTGTCCAAGAGAACCAAAAAAACCAAAAAAACCAAAAAAACCAAAAAAACCAAAAAAACCAATCCTGAGGGACTCTGTTGGGGAGCCGGACCCCTGGGAAGAGTCTCTCAGGATTGGTTTTTTTGTTTTTTTGGTGTTTTTGTTTTTTTTGGTTTTTTGTTTTTTCGAGGATTTTTGTGTATTATTGGAGATTTTGCTGTACCATTTTCTTTTTTACGGTTTTTCGGTGTCTTCTGAAGGTTATTTTTTGGTTTTTCTTTAGGCTTTTAGGTGTTATTTCATTTTTGTACGCTTTTTTTGTACAGTTGTTTTTGGTATTTGTGTTTTGTGTGTGTTTTATATCTCTGAGTGCCCTTTTGTACGTGACAAAAGCACTAACATGGACAATCAAGCACATGGCATTCTGTGTTTCTCTCATCTGGCGGGCGATGAACGGCATGTCCTGATGCTTGCGAGCGAGAGACGTGACAAAATTCCCTCTAGTTCCTGCTTTGCACAAATTTAAACAACATTGATATATTATCCATGAATTTCGTGCTCCCAGCCACATGGTTTGAAAAGCATGGATTTTTTGGATTTCGTGCTCCCAGCCACATGGTTTGAAAAGCATGGATTTTTTGGAAAACATTGGCTTTACCGACGTTTTTTCGGCTCCATCCTTCAAAAAATTGGTAAAACCAATGTTATCCATGAATTTCGTGCTCGCGGCTACATGGTTTGAAAATCATGGATTTTTGGAAAACGTCGGTTTTACCAATGTTTTTCGGCTCCATCTTTCAACAACATTGGTAGAACCAATGTTTTCCATGAATTTCGTGATCTGAGGCTCTCTCCCAGCCACCATTTCTCGAGGAGGTACCAAAAAACAAACTCGAATCCTGCAAAATCTCGAGAGAGCACCAAAACCTCCATATAATCAATCGCGCCCCAATACGCAAGGCATGACATCTATCCTAAAAACTATACCTTAGCTAGGATGAGTCAAGCAATCATCCCCCAATAAGCAAAACCTAATATCTATACTAAACACTGTACCTTAGCAACATATTTTAAGACATCACGCCCTAAGGCTCCTACTAATGTAATAAGGTTCCTATCAATTTAAACAGGGTTCTTATTCATGTTACTGGGATTCGCAAAGGGTTTTAATTAATTTTAAGGATTAGGCTCATTTTAGTTTAGCAGGGTTCCTATTAGTTCTTGTACAAGGATTCTATTGTTTTGCAGGCCTATTGGTTCCCATTCATTTTAGTAAGATTCCTTCTCGTTCTAATAGGATTCCTGTGAATTGTAACCCGGGTTCTTTTTGATTTGTCAAGGGTTCCTATTCATTTTAATAGGCTTCCGTCCTATTAACTGTTATCCGGTTCCGATAATTTCTTAATTATTTTAATAAGGCTCCTACTCATGTAATAAGATTCCTATCAAGCTTCATCAGATTCTTGTTCATGTTAATGGGATTCGTATTCTTATTAATAGGGATCTCATTCACTTTAAAGGGGTTCCTATTGGTTTAGGCTCATGTTCATTTTAGTATTTCTAAGGGTTCGCCTGATTTTTTATAGGAGTCCGATTGGTTCGTATTAATTGTAGTAGGGTTCCTCTTCAGTTTAATAGGATTCCTATTAATTCTACGAGGATTCTCATCTTTTTGTGAGGGGTCTCCAATTCATGTTAAGAGGCTTCCTATTGACTTTACGGCTCCGATTATTTAAAATAGGGTTCCTACGGATATAAATAGAGGATTCCTATTGTTGTTTCTAGGATTCCAATGAAGTTGGCCAATTTATTTTGAAAACGGGGACAGGACATACACCGTATCGCTGCTTTGTGTTGGCGCACTTGCATGTTGTGCATGACTCGTGATTTTGTTTATATAAAATACGGCTGCGCTGTGAGAGTGTTTTTGAAATATCTTTAAACAAATAGAAAAAAGTGCACTCCCACAGCGTCCCGGTCTCAATATTTATACATATATGTGTATGTATGCTAACCCCCCAAGGACTTACATTTTTTGTTTTTGTGTGTCTGAGCTATATATGAACACAAAAAACTACGTTCTACACGGTGTCTATGCCGGCAATTCTACAGGTGCCATGACGAAGCGAGGTTTTGTCTGAGAACAGCGTGCAAGCGAGATGATGAAGTTGCCAGACGTTACATGTCAATGCAGCATGTGTGGCACAAGTGCATGGCATTTAGACATGACCCATGGCCTCTAGCTTGAATAGTTTCATATGCTTTACTTAGTCAGTAGAACTTTTTCATCTTTACTACTTCTATTACTACCCGGCCAAGTAGTTCTAAATCTTAGAGTTGGGGTCAGGGTTACGATTACAAATCAAAGAAGGCGAGGCTGAGCAGTATAGCTTTTCAAAACCTCACTGTTCGGGGCCGGCGCTGGCATAATTCAGTTTCACAGCTCAAGGTTCTTTTTCGGCTAGATCGGTTTGGGGTGTTCAACAGCCATTCGTTATGTTGATTCAATGAATGTAACTCTTCGCTATATACACACAAGGACGAAGTTAGCCTCTGATTTACAAGAACTGGACACCCTTAGGAAACATGGGTAGAACACATGTTTTCGCACGCATGCCTTCAGCAAAAAAGGGTAAACCAACGTTTTCGGAAGGCCGCCCTCAGAAAATATCGCCTCGTCAAAACCGATGTTTTCTGAGCCCATGCTCTTAAAACTCCTCACAAACCAATAAACAACCATAAAAACACTGATTTTGAAAACTACTCGGCCACCCCGCCTAATCCTAAATCCTAAATCCTAAACCCTGGGAGGAAGATCATGTTGAGGTCGGCACAAACAGACACAAACAGAAAAAGGTAGGTCCATGGGGGGGGGGGTTACCATGTATATGTATATGTACATGTATATGTATATGTACATGTACATATACATACAAATATATATATATATATACTAGACACATGTGCGTGCGAAGCGTGTGACCCCATAAGTTCGCAAGAAGAAGCCGGCTGGTGAAGGCCGGAGCTTGGGTTTGTGAAGGTATTTCCGTGACGTTTAAAAATTGTGTGAGACCCCTGCCCCTTTAACCTTGCACCCCTTGCAGGGCCCTCCCTGACACATCCCCTGAATTCCCCTGGTCTCTCAGCTCCATTGTGCTGTCTTGCACTGGATTTGAAGAACAAACCATGAAGCATCGCATCAGTGTAGGACGGGGAAATTACGACCGTCTTCGGAAGATCATCAATGTTTGCAGGTATTGAGACTTCACCACCATATCCGGCTGTGGCGGGCACAATCCTTCCGGCATGACTTATGGACTTCTCCACAGGAATGACGAAGACATTAGCGGCTGAATTTGCTGTTGCATGAGTTAAACAGACAAGGGCCATCTCCAACTCACCAGTCCATCTCACAGGCGAATTGCTTAATCGGGTAGGACTTCCGGATTCCATGCAGTACTTAGTCAAGCTGGCATCAAGTCGACTAATGGGCGACAGCATATCACGATATTCGGATATGCCACAGTGCCTGCGAAACTGCAATATCGTTTACTAATTCGAACGCTGACGTAAGGAGGTATGGTGTGATGGAATGCCACAGTGTTGCTTTTGAAAGTCGGCATCTTAAACTCAATCGATGCACACCAGAACGGGCTCGACAGCAATCCCTTCTCTTTTGGCCTCAATCTCCAGTACCCCCGAGGTCCGTGAAACTACACCGATTGTCTCAGATGAGGTTTTCAGCGATTCAACCCCCACGACCCTGCCAGATCTGCTTTGAAAGGATTTTGGAACTTGGGACGTGGGCCGGCCCGGCCGCTGCGGCTCCCTCGTGTGGACCACATTGGCTTCGGGCGACTCATCGACCTCCATTGTCTCGCTGGTACCCCCTACCTTGCTCACCGGCTTTGGACCATGCCATCCTCAGCACTGGCCATCTCAGTCTCGACTTGCATGTCCCCTGCTCGGCCTGGTATCAGCCGTGCCTTTGCGCGCATTGCTGGATTGCACATCAGCATTGAAATCCCGTCCCTTGGTGGCCGAGGCGGCACGCGCAAGCGTTTACAAGTAAAACCTCCATGACCTGAGTCTGGGAAGGGCGGGTGGCCTTCCCCCAAGACACCTGCCACGAATCATCCCACCTGCTCGCGGAAAGGGAGATCTCGTGGTGTCAATCTATGAGCACACGTGGGTGGCATTTCGCCCTGCCTGACAGCGCGACATCCGCACTAGCCGATATCAGAAAAGCGTGCAAGTTTTTTGAAGCTCCGAAGCCTCCGGGTTTGAACTACGCAACGTTCATCAGGCCATCAAGGCATGTGGCTACCCACTCCAAGGTTGCTTTGCAGCCTTGGGCCTTGGCCTGGGGGAAAGTTGATAGACCTTCTCAAGACCACGAGTCCTCCAACAATGATGACGTGCATCTACTAGCCATGATTAATCTATATCTTTTTGCTTTGGTCCTCTGTCATGCTGATGGCCGCCCACTTATGTGCCAGACTGCACTTTGTGAGTTAATCCTGGCCATTTGAGAGCTGCATCGCCCCTTTGGCAGATCTACAGTAAAACCTTGCCAAGATGCCCCCAACTGTCAGGGTTGCGGCAGTCTTTCCAGCGACGCTGCTTGAACAGCAGAACGAGCACAACTGAATCAATCCATTCGGGATAGGGACGCTGCAGGTTTTTGGCTCCTTGCTGATTATGATGTTGATTTTGGTCAGAAATCTGGAATGTGTGCGGTCTACAACCCACATGTCACGTCTCGTACTCAACCGTGCAAGGCCACCGTGCTCTCAAGTGCCCCTCAGTAATCCCAAGCGTTTCCAGTACCGCGTAGGTGTTCCCAAGTTTCGCGCACTTCGCTTGCACGACAAAAGTCGACTTTCGAGCTACCAGGCAGACTTCCTCCGAGTACATTCGGGTACTACATCAGACGTGTGCACACGTGACTGCGGCGGGAAAACGATCCAAAGCAGAAAGCCGAATAGTATGACAGTATATAGCAGTATAATGTTGCACTTTGTTGCGCGTCCCGCCATAATGTTGCGGCGTGCAAGCGCGAGCATGGAATGTGTGCATGGGGCTATGAAAGCTAATCAAGGCGCATGGAACGACAAAAACCCAGAGACCTAAACAAAACATGAAATCTTCGCCGCGGGAGCCTCGCGCTGGCTGCGCGCCCTTACCGCCCTTACAACCCCTACGCCACGGAGTCACCTCGCTCGCCACGTAAGAACTCCGTGGTGTGCGCAGACTGTTGGGAAATTACTATGCCGTTCTGTGGGTTCCATCTGCAAAAACAATCAGGCAGCGAGTGGGAAGTCTGAGAAACATCCGACTTCGATCAGCGATTTGCAGCTGTCAACTCACCTGGGCACAGGAAGGGGCCTGGCCCGAAGCTCATCGAGATTGACTGCAAAAGGCTTTCGAAAAGAGACTGGGATAAAATGAGCAACCAGCACTTTGCAATGACAGTTGAGTTTGTGGAGTCTTTTGGCGGGACTTCGGGGCTTAGGCCTGGTTGCCCACTTGCAAGCCCGATTCTCGGATGAAACTTAGCTTTAGGCCATCACGGCCTGACCCGACATGGCAACTTGCCATATGCCAGGACGACGAGGAATAATGTCACAACAGAAAAGCCCACCCCACCCCACAATGATGTGGTGTAGAGGATGTCCGAAATCACGGCGCCAGCGAAGAAGAACACGAAGAACACCTGCATTGAGTCATGGAAGGCCTGTGCCAGACCCACCAGGGCAATTCACAAATCTAGCCCTTTTCCAAGAGACTTGCCTCGGAGCCCTCCGGCCATGAACACTTTGCAAGGGCGAGCTACGAGCTACTCCACATCACTCCTCCCGAAGCCAAAATCTTGAATCGGACCTTCTTGTTCCTACATATAAAACCGAGGGGCCATGAAGATCCCCAGGCTCGTGAGGTAGTCTGCCCTAGGCTGGCCACATTGCTGTACTGGCTTTGGCGAGCTTGAGGCGTCCTCTTGAAGGTTCTCGGATAGTTCGAAGTGATATTCGGAACGTGCCTTTTCAAACATACACTGACACCGCCCCTCGCCAAATGCACTTCCGAGCCTAAATCCCAGACCTTGAACCCCTAAACAGGCCCGAAGTTTGCCCTATGTAATCCCAGTACGTGAAGTGTTGGGCTAAGGGATGACCTGGAGGCTTAAACAGGGCCGAGCGACGTCTTCGAGGAGCGAGCTGCTGCGTAGCGGTCACAAAGCCACCACATGACCTCCCAACACAGCGACCCGCTGACCGACACAGAAACCTATACAGCGACCTGAACAGCGACTCACAGTGGCCCACAACCCTTCAGTGAAAAGCCGCTTTAACCTGGAAAAACACGTCCTTCGATGCTCACGAATGGCCCCTGAAGCCAGGCCTAGTTCCTCAAATCCCAAGCCTTGATGCAGAGCAGCACCCAGAAGAGTGCCCAGCCAAGGCATGATCCAATGAACTCCGACAGAATGGCATCCAGCGGTGCACCTCTGTGCTTTTTGCTGGCTCTTTGGCCAGTGTTGGCTTGGCCAGAGCAAAAGCCTACAGTGTCCTACAGGGCCTTCACACTTGTGCCCTCCTCTCAGGGGAGTTCTTTGGCTGCTTGGACGTATAAGTTGCTAGGCGCTACTGTTGAGGCCTTTAGGCGGTGGCTCTCCCTTCCCCGCTCCCACCTCCGCGGATGAAGGCCAAGACGACATCCAGCGCAATGCCGAATGGTCCAGCGGCGATGATGAGCGCGTAGCTCAGCCTGGGCTGTCACATACTTGCCGACACCCAGGTTTCGGTGTTACGGGTCCTTTGAAAAGAGCGTCTCCGTCGACGAGGCTCTCTCTCGGGCCGCAAGCTCGTTTCTTATCGTTTCTTGCTTCTCAGCCGATGCAAGGAGCACATGCGAAACATGCAAGCCATGCAAGCATAAGTCCCATTAGGGAGAAGCGGCGAGTACTGAGAGCAACAGCCTTGGACTGACTTTGTGGAGTGACGCCTTGTTTCCTTTGCTGTCGATGGCCTATGCATGCCCCCCTCCTGAGTCAGGAGCTGCGCTACAGTCCCTGCTTGGGCTGGGCTGGGTGCACAAAAGCGCAGGCTCAGCACAGGGCTCTGCATCGGTACTTTAGGATCTGTTGAATGAGGTGCATCTAAGATGGCAGGGGTATCGGGTTTTGAGGTTGTCGTAGCCAGAAAGCACTTCTCTTTCCTTAGACAATTCCTGGATACAACAATCGCTCGCGAGCTTCCCATAGCCTGCAAGATTTTCACTAGTGAACGCACAGCACTGCCTGCAGCTTTCGGTGGCGGAAGGTTGGTCATCGACATCCCAAGTAGCTCTTGTCGCAGTGGGCCTTGCCAAGGGCAAAGCGATGGCAAAGCTGCCAATATCTGCCAGTGGTCAGTGTGACAGCTTTGTTTTGAGCTCCGCGCGTTCAAGAAGGAAAATGGATCGAAACGGTTTGGGACTGCAGCAGCTGACAGGGCGATCGCGAAGATCCGATGTTTCAGGGTGTCAAAAGGTTTTGTTGGTCAGGACCGCTCTGCTTGTGCAGACGCACCGCGATCTGCACCCAGCTGCCACCCAAGCGGCCGCGGACGTACTCTGTAAAGGCTTCCTCGCTGCCATACCATGCAGCGATGGCCGAAAGCACAAACCTCGAGGACACGCATGGACACGGCCTTTAGGATTGGGATGCACTTTGGATGTGCTTTGGGGTTATGGGATTCAGGAGTGCTCTGATGCTTTGTGGGACTTCTAGCGATCGAGCCAGGAAATTGAAATAATCTGCAAGTCGTGCCCCTGGTTCTTACGAGGCGCAGTTGCGCAGGTTCCTCTTGGGCGAGCAGAGCCCTCTTTGAACATCTCTGTGCTAGTGGCGTGGTTCGACTCAGCCAAGGATAGAGAAACTGCCTGAAAACATCCCGAAACCTGAAAAGGATGTGGTTCGATAAACCAAGGATGGAGCAACCGCCTGAAACTCTCCCGAAACCTGAAAACCTAAACGCCAAACCCTCAAACCAAAACTCTTGTGGCTCTCAACCGACCGGGAGGCTCTCTATCCGACTGCAGACGGCACTCTGCCGCCTGCTGTGCCGAGAAACAGAGACAAAGCGGAAGCTTAGTGGCATTTAGGGTCCGGAAGCTCTTGAGGGTTTGGGGGTTTCTGTGGGCTGGAGGGCTGCGATCGGCATTTGCCATTGTTGAATCTTCATGATCGGTTCTTGGACGTTGAATCTCATGGCTGTTGCCCGTCCTGCTGTGTACCGACGCCATCCTAAACATGAACACGGGAGATGCGAGATCTCTTGCTTTATGATTACAGTATATTTCAGTCTCTTGCAGTCCAGCCGCCTCCACCTCGAAGTTCTGGAGCGACGCAATGAGCTCGTGCTTCTCCTCAGCCGGCTACAAATCTCCGTCACACCGGGCAGCAACAGGGGCTTCAGGCGGCTTCAGGGCGCGCGAGGCCGAGGTCTGCGCGCAACTCCGCTGTTACGCTGCCCCAGCACCACATGGGGTTCTGTTTGAATGTCTTTGCCTGACGGTGGCTGTGACTCTTGGTACCCTGGGGCCCCGCATGATGGGCAAGAGAAAGCGGGCACGAAGTTTGATCGCAAAAGCGAAGCTGCAGAGAAATGCAAGAATCTGCGCAGGTTATAGGACTTGCATGGCCAGTGCCCTGCCTTTGAAAGAGGACTGCATGGGGATCTCACGGGATCTCTCATATGGCAAAAAGACAGTTGTCCATCGATGTGTAGCGCGCGCTAGCGGGGGATCAGCGCGAACATCCACCTGGACCTCGTCACAACTCGAGGTTCTCCGACCCAACGTATGTCGTTTCCGCTTGCCCTATCGCCAGCCTAGCGCCGCATTATTTGGGGTTTCGTGTATGTACATTGAAGGCCCCGCCTCGTTGCAAAGGACAAAACCTGCTGTCAGGATTCCATGAGCCTGGGCTCGCACGCCCTTCACATGCAAAAAAGAGTACCAAAGGACAGAGAAGTGAGGCATCATGGAACCCCAAGTCGCCTGTAACAAGATCTCTGTACGACTGTGTGACTGTATGGTGGGGATTGGAGACTGTTCTAGGACGAACAGTTCGGCATGTTTTGAAAGTGGATGGGCCATCGACACTGTCGTTCTCATAATCCTCGTCATCCTCATCGCCATTTTCGTTCCCAGATTACAGAACAGACAGCGAGAAGCTGTAGCATGTTGAACAATTGTGCGGGCGGCCATTTACTGACTACAAGATGGAAACCTTGCCTATGCCTGCAGCATCATCATCATCATCGTCCTCCTCCTCCTTCTCCTCCACCCTCTCCATCAATGTAAAGCCGCCAGGAAGAAAGAGCCTATGGTTTGCGATGTCGCACGAAACGAAACGAAAACGAAACCTCGAAGCCTGTGTCTCAGCACGCTTAAGCGTTGTCCGAAGCAGCTTCCGATGCTGGAAACTACATCAAGAGTGCTGCAGGGAGTCCCTCATGAACATCCGGTTGCCGTGCACGATGAACAGCAAGGGTGTCACGGTCAGCCTCGGCATGCATCTATGTTCTGCAGGGACATGCGGTCGGTGTGCTGCCCTCCTCAGAGCACTAAGAGAGCCTCTCTCACATCTCTTCGTTTCCTCACAATTTAGGCAATTTGGGTTTAAAGGCCTTGTCTACGTAGGATTACAGGTCCCTTCTAGAAAGTTTCCATGTGCGTCAACGGTCCCTCGTGGCCCGAGACGCCACATTGCAAGCTGCCCCTAACCCCCGCAGCCTACGTTTGTCCTTTGCCTCCACAACGGCTCCTGAGTCCCCCAAAACCTTCAGAGTCCCCAAGTCCGAGCATCCGAGTTGCATGGTCACTGGCAAGCTGAATCTCAACCCCAGGCGCACAGCAAATACCTTGCGGGACGATGGATCCTCTTGTGCGGGTCTGGGCAGGGAACGTTGGAGAGGGTCGGCATCTCAGCCATGCTGCAACACAGAAAATGCCAGCGCCCGCATAGCTGCCCAGCATCAGCAGGCAGGCCTGGCCTGGAAGATGGCGCTGGATGGATTGCTTCACGCAACCTAAATGGGCCTTCTCCTTGTGCATTGTGCTGCGATCAGACTCACGGTAGGAGGGCACTCTGACAAGCTTTTTGCATTGTTTTCATGGTGACTACATGGCTTCTCAGGTACATATACCCTGATTGATCAAAGTTCCTTCATCCCGGAAACTTCAAGATGTAAACTTCGCGCGAGCTAAGACTCAGCCTACTTGTCCCGAGCTATGACTCAGCCTAATAGTCCCGGATAGGTCTACGGACGTGAGTAGACGCACTTGAGAAGGGCTACGAAAGCTAGTCACCGCAGGGGGGTGGCATGCAGGGAGTCGGCAGGACTTGGAGCCGCCGGCGCCACGATTGAGTCCATGTAGAGACTCAACCGGTTAGTCAGGTAAGATCGAAGACCCCTAAACTCGAAATCTGAAGCCCTAAACTCCTTCAGCCCCCTTGCTTCCCCCGCTGGAACCCCGTGTCGCAAACGAAGTTTAGGTACAGGGACGCTCTGTTCAGTACGACCTCTGCAAAGTACCACAGACCTTCAGAGCATGGTGACTGTGGGGGGCGGGGGAGGACCTTGGGGTGGGGTGGGGGGGGACCTTGTGGGGGGGGGCGGGGAGGGGACCTGAAGGTGGTAGGGGGGGGGCCCCCCCCCCTACCTTATCCCACACGCAACCACCTTAAAGGAGGGGGGGGGGGGGGGCCGGCACCTTATCCTTCGAAAATGCTTCATGGTGAGGTGAGGGGGGGGGGGGGGGCCCCCCCCCCCCCACCCCCACCTTAAGTCTTGGGTTTCGGACCTGTTAAGGTGTGGAACCCTTTTTTTCCCTGGAAGCTTCTTAACAAGGTGAATACCAGTGAATGGGTAAACGACAACTCCCGCCAGCTCCACAGAGCTAGCTTTCGTGATTAATTTGGAGAAAGATCAGCCTTCATAATGTCGCAAGCTGTCTTTAGGGTCGAACTTTGCAGCGCCGCAGCGCGCCTTCCGCATGCTGCGCGGGCTGAAGCCTCCTGGCGGCCTTTTCGGGGAGCTTTCGGCAGTCTTTCGTTGCAAAACGTCTCAGCCCTCCGACTGAAGGCTGAGTGAGCTTTTGAGTCGAATGAAAGACTCCTTGCCACAGCCTCTGCTCATGTCGCCGGGACTCCTGCGATCAACTCCCATGGTGAAGCTGCACGTGCTCCAGGAGGCAGTCGCGGTCGGGTGATAAGAGAACACACACACACAACTGCTTATGCATCTAGAGGTCTGTCCCAGTTCGCTGAAGTTCAGTTGGTTCCATCTGCCCCCTATCAAGTTCAGCTGAGTTTCGCTCGACGAAGAGCGGCTTTACGCAGACCGGACCACTCGGGTTGGCCTGATCTGACTGCTTGGGGGCTTGGGGGTCTGTGGGAATTGATGGGAATTGATTTGTGTCCGCCTTTCATTTTAGGTTCGTACTGCCATGGCACTATTTCATCGCCTCCTCTGCAAAACACCAGGCTCTTCCTATTTGGGAAGGCGTTCGAACTGAGAGAGTTGATCTTCTCGTCTGCGGGGTCAGGCTCTGCTTGGGGCACATGTGGAGTAATGTGGAGCCTTGTAGAACATTGTGGAACATTATTGTGGGGCTTTCACACCGCTCAATGAAGCCAAGCATCTTTGCGATAAGCTGCAAGCTCGAACACCTCGAGCCGCACGAGCTGCATCGCAGCAGTGCCAGGCGGCCAGAAAGCACGGAACTACAAGCCGCTACAACGAAGTGGAAGTTAAAATGCAGCTTGGTGGCGCACCAGAGACGAGACAAATATGGTGGCGACCACCTTGGCTCTTCGTTTTCATGCTCTCTGGGCTCAGTGTGCACTTTTTCGTTCTGGCCGACTCCAAGCAGAAACGCTCTCATGCGTCTGACCCCATGCTCAAACACCAGTAACTTCTGCAGGAGCGCGGTCAGCGCCATTTATGTAAATGAGCCCTTCCGGGCCTTGAGGTTCAGGCAGCCTACAGCCCAGTAGCCCCTAGGAAAGTCTTGAACCAGGTTGCAAAACACGCAGCTCGTTCGATATGCTCCTTGGTTGCAAGACGTTGCAAGCCCAGGACGATCAACCGTTCCAGGCCCAGCAAAAATAAAACACGTGAATCTGAAGTTGGAGATACCCATTCTCCTGGAGCCAGGCGGCAAAAATCCACCGAGCCCGTAAATGCCCCGCTCCATCAGGTCCGGGTCGCTCCTCGGATGTCATGCATCTTCCTTGGAGCCTGGGGGTAGTTCAACTCGTGAGGGGCAGCAAACCTTCAGGGGTGATGGTCTAGGCCAACCCTGACTTCTCAAGCGGTAAATCTAAAGACTAGAGTGACGAGAGCTGCTTGGTACTTCATATTCGAGGGTGACTCTCGTCGCTCCTTACGGAGGCGAAGCACAAGGATCTTGGATTTACCCTGTTGACCTTGCATGGCGATTTTTGCTTTGCAAAGGCGAAAGAAGCCTCCGTGACTAAGAGCATGACCTACTTTGAGAAGATAGAGGCTTGGAAAACACGATCGTGGCTCTGAGACTGGAGAAGCACTCACGCCGCCCCCCCCCCCCCCCCCCCCCTCCCAAAGATGTGGCACAGCTCCACTGCCGCTGCTTCTTGCGGGCCTTCCTGCGTTTGATCTGGGTGCTGGGTCCCCAGAAAGAAGAAAGCGGCATAAACACGTGAGGCTCAGATCAGGAATGGACCCTAAGCCTACGCCAGGGGTCGGTGAAGCCCAGTCGAACGCCGACGGCTCATGAACCAGGATCCGGCCCGTCTACTCTCAGATTCGAACGTGGTATCAGAACTGGCAAAAGGCAGCCCGAAGATGAATCTGGGTTCATGAACCCGCGCTTAATGTCGTCAGAGCCTCTGGTTGATGCTGACCACATCGAGAAAGCAGTTCGGGGAACGACGCAGATAGAGCCAGTACCTTTGAGGTTTGTCGATGGCTACTCTGCCCGTCTAACGAACAGGCAGGGTCTCAACTGAACTGTCGAAAGCCCATGTACACAATGCAGCTATCTTAGCTATCTTTCAAAATCCTTGTGGAGTGAGGCTACATGGCAGTGCTTTCGTTTATCCCTAATGACCTAGTGGAGTAGCAAGCCTGGAAACAGGCCAGTCATGGAGTTGGAGTTCAGGCGGAGGGTTGGGTGATGCTTTTGGCTCGGGCGGGATGCTGAAGACGTCAGGGCCATTCTCGCTTGGCCGCGAACACCCTGGGAGCCCTAGAGCCGAAAGCTTAGGGCTTCACTAGCCTGCGAGGCAAAGCCTGCTTTCCCGAGCGGCGGTGACAGTAAGAGTGAGATCAGAACAGTGAAGATGCCGGACAAGTAGACCCACCTGAGCTCAAGCGCTCAAGCCCCTGAACCCGAAACAGACGACAATCAGGCGCATACCTGAAGCACTTTCCATGCCCTGTTGTTGCCGAGGTCTCTCAACGCCCGAACTTCACCCTGCAGTAGCCCTGGAATCCCTAGACCACCCTGAATCGCGGAATGACAGTCTTGGAGAGATCTGAAAGCGAAGACGCGGATCGACACCCAGGACCTGCTACATCAGCAAGATCTGGAAAGCACGCTACAACACGCGACGCCAATGATCTGGCAAACCCATGATCCCCTGCGCAACATCGGCGAATCACCACCAGCTGCAGCCCTCTACTGATATCAAAATTTTGGGGCACGTGGAGCCAGGACCCGGATGGGGACTGTTGTCAGGCCTCACTTCTGGGAGGATTTAGGGTTTCGGGAGGTTTCGGGCTTCACCTGGCTCTGGGCATCCGAGCGGGGCAAACGGGCAGGCTTTTTTGAAGTCGAGGACATCCGCGTTGAAGATCAGTGGCGTCGAAAGCCTCAAACGCAGGGGTCGCCAAGCCCATCTACGTTAACAGCCTGTTAAGCTGTGAATCTTCCCTTGCCTTAGTTACCCTGAAGCCTCATGCCCCTTCTTTCGCCGCCCACCTAGTGTCTAAGCTCATGTAGCTTCGCACTTGTAGGGGGTTTCGGAAAGGTCTTCCTTGAACGTGCGGCCTCTTGCCTGCCTGGACAATCAACTCACCTGGCTGAGCCTCAAGCCAAAAGAAAGCCCCAGCGATACCTTCAAAAGCCTCTCTACAGTAGCAAGCCCCAAATCCGTATGCAGCCCAAACTCGCAGGACTGCAGCCCGATTATCTCATAAGTTCTCGGGGATCTTGGGGGACCTTTAGAGATCTTTCGCCCCTTCAGGGACAAAGCTCTCCGAGTGGCAAGCCAAATGCCCCGAGGACAAAGACCAGCCCTGCCTGGGATTTGAAAAATTGTGCGCTGTCATGGTCCGCCTCTCCATCTGCACTAGCAGCCTACTAGCAGCTCAATTGAGCTCCCCTTGCCGTGGGCATCTTTCTGCGCTGTCCTACGAGTGCGACCAAAACTCCCCACAGCCGAATCTTCACCTTCCAACTTCTTCAGTTCAGGCGCCACGCAGGCCCAGCAGACCATGACAAAAGGCCAGCCGTACTGGAACAGCAAGGACAAGACCTGCAAAAGCCAGGCGGAATTTGCCGTGTTTGCCCTGCGTGCACTCCCTGATAAAGCCCAGTCCTGATCTAACGATTAACTCCCGGAGAAAGGCTGGCGATACCCCAACAAAGCTGCACTTGCTCACCTGGCTGGCAAGGGTCTGATTGCCGCACACTGAAATAATTGCTGTGTCGTTCTGGGAGTCGTACAGGGCTTGACCGCTTTTCTCCATAGGTACTGCAACAGTGGACCACGCAAGGGAACTTAACTGTATGCGGCCATGCAACACACGGCAGCTGCCAGGATACATGCCACCCACCGATTTTAAAGGAACGAACGACCAACAAGACAGCCACATAATGATTTCTTTCCTGGCCTTCCATTTGCCAGGCGTCCTCCAGGAGTGTGAGAAAAACCTCAGACCGCACCACAATAGTTTTGTTGGGGTTGGGGGTTCGGGTTGATGACATTCGCTGGTGAAGGTGCAGGCAAGGTCAGATGAGTTCAGAAGCGAAAATCATGATTCAAACCTCTGTCATAAGCCGTTAACATTTCGTACTTGGCTGTTTTTTTGCATCGGTTGTCTCCAAAACAGTGGCGTGAAGAGGATGACCAACTCAACTGATTCATTCTGGGAGATGCACAACTTGGTACTGCCTTGGTCCATGCGAGCATTCTACAGTCGTAACATTTTCCAATTGGGCCCCGGGGACACGTCGAAGCGCTCGACGGGCTTTGATTTGTCCCACAGCCTGGACCGAGAGTCCTCGTCCTGGAAGTGATTTGCATTGGGGGATGTTTGACTCCGTGAAAGCGGAAGGGATGCTCGGGGTTCTCAGCCTCTATGCACTAGAGTCACTAGAAGCTGCCAACATGCAGTCAATTAGGTCAATGCAGCGGGAGTCAAAGAGTCAATGAGGCAATGAGTCCAACAAGTCAAAGAGTCAAATGCTTCTTAAACAGCGCTTACGAGCTCAACGGCTTGGAGCTGCAAAGAATAGGAGGATCTGGCACAAGAACGGAGGATGCACTTTCCAGCTTCCAGAAGTCTCTGCCGGAACCTGAGCCCCCCTAACTTTGAGCAACGTAAACAAGACATCCCCTCATCCTGGCCAACATTGGCCAACCCGCCTAGACTGGTCATCACTGGCCTAGACTCAAAACCCCGAAACATCCGTCAAAGCCCCCGGTGAGCCCCTCCCGGGTCCATGTCGACCGGCGACGTCTGCCAGAGGCGGCCGCCGGCACCCAAGCTGGAGCCCACAGAGATGCCACGGGCGATGCTGTTGTCCACCTGAGCACTCTTGGACGGGGCGCCTGCAGCGCATGAGTTCTATTGAGCATCCCGAAACGGCCCCCGCCTGGAGAATCTTCATGGCTTCCAAATAGCTCTTCCTTGGGGGGGAGCGGCGATTCACTGCAAAGGCCTTGCAACGGCACTGATCTCAATGCAAAGTTGAACCCGAATCTTTCCCACGCGAAGAGGTGCAGCGGCTGCATTCTCAAAAGCCGGTGTCTGATGGAGGAATGAAGTTTCGGGTGGTGGATTTCAGCTTCTCACGACAACAGGATAGGATGAGACTCCCGACACCAAAATCTCCAACCAGCAAAATTAAGAACTTGCCCGGATTCCTGATGTAGTTTGCAACGCTCGTATCGATCACCACATCCTGGCACCGTCTGCCGCTAGTCATTCGACCTGGTATGCTAGCGCTGGCACACAAGCGGCAGCGAGATTGAACAAACAACACGACGGAGCCAGATACACCTGCAATTAGGTCTACTTGAGTCTACTTGAGTCTGCATGCCCGTCCTCTTTGGGAGGCAGTTCACCTTCACATTTGAGAGCTTCCATCCTTGGCGAGTGTCTCTCGTGAAGCGGGAATGGACTAGATTGGTTTCCGAGCAGTCGGCTCAGGTTTTAGTTTCAAAGTTGAAGGCCCTGAACAGCCCCAGCCCACCACCTCACACTCGGGCCAAGGGGCGGCTGGGCCCTGACCATCTCCATGGGTAAGTTGTCATCCTGCTTCCTTTGCTTTGGGCTTCGGAGGTTTCGTCGGTTCGAGGGCCCAAAGAACTCTACAACCAGAAACGCAATAACTCGAACACGGGGGCTTTCGTGGCAAGGGAGGGGGGAGGCACCAGGCACCCGAATGCACCTTTACACTTGACTTGGAACTCCCCGAGCTCGCGCAGGTCGGTCCGCTGTTGGCGAGCTGTCACTGTTCAGGAGGGCAATGTACAAGGCAGTGTGTTCTGGCGAATGATGTTTGGGTAAGCAAAGTAGAGGCATCTCTTCGGGCCTTCGGCTTTTGCGGAGTTCGGAGTTTGTGTAGATATGTGTAGATTCTTCTCCTTCGCGTAAAAGGAGTTTTCTTCCTGCAGGTCAGAGTCTTGTCACAGCAGCAGCTGCTGCTCGACCCCATCACGGGCGAGTGAGAAACCTACGCTTTAGTCTGCCAGCTGCGCCATTTTGCGTTAGTCATTCCATGCTTGTCCGCATGGCATTCCATGGAAAGTGTGTTAGTCTCAGAGCAGCATTGCGGCATGGATCTACCGCATAGCCTCAAAGTATACAAGCAAAGCAGCGAAGCAAACCCCCCTCTGAGTTTTGACGGATAAAAAACACGGGCGAACCTTGTCCTCTTCGGCGACGTCACATCGGCCTGTGCACATAAAGTGCCGGCAACCCCCAGCCGAACGTTTGCAAACCAACACACCCCAACTTGAACCTGACACCCGGGAGAAACAATTGCAGGACCCCTCTTTCCGTTTCAGTTTTTTGGTAGAATCCACGTCAGGCCGCCTCTGCCTGCCAGACATTCCGCTCTGCCTCAGCGACTCTGGTTTGTTGATACTAAGCTTTTTGAAGTTTGAGGTTTTTGAGTCTAGCGCACTTAGGGGCTTTCGGGCTGCTGCTGCTGCTGCAAAAAAAAAACGAATCAAGCCATAAGACCTGAAGCCAAAACAAACTTGAGACATCCCTGCACCCGGCAACGATCGGCTGAGTCTCCGGCCCACTGCCGCCAAAACCTTGAGAAGGGATTGCTGAAGTCTCAGAAGTTTAAGAGCCTGTTAGACTTGCTGAAGGGGGTTTGGACTTCTAGGTTTTAGGGTTAGGGTCTGTGGGGGAATCTTGAGGTCTGTCCGCGAATTGCTGCGCCTCGCGCGTGAGACGCGCCAGAGGATGGCAACCGCTGTTTAGAAAGAATGTGGGTTGAACGTCAAGTGTCACAGTGTCACAGTGCTCGTAAATGACCTCGAACATAACCATTGGCGATTGCTACCCTCTTCGGCGAATCAACTTGGGGCCCATGTCAGTGTGTACCTGATTCCTCTTTTGAATCGCCTCTGTGGCTCCACTTGAGCTCCAACACCGAAAGAGGACGGGTCCCCGAACCCATCCCAAAACGTGAGGATTGAGGAGGGTTAGGCGCAGAGTTTATGCCCAGTCATGCTTCTTGGCTGGGGCGAGCACGCAGTGGATTCACTGGCAGGTGTATTGGCCAAAGCTTGGAAGAGCGTGCGACGGTCCTGGGTCTTTTCGTGGCTTCTTCGGGTTCTGGATTTCAGGGAGCACTAGTTCACTAGTTCTGCCGGGACTCAATATGAGACCGTCGAAGCGTGTGATGGCTGCAAACAATTCACGATTAAGGTACTCTTGGTTCAGGTCTTGAGCTGGGGTGAAGCAAGTGTCTCGACTACGTTACTCAACTACACCCTGACCGCAAACACTCCAAGCCCTAAGCTTTCGCCGGCACTTAGCCCATGGCATAGCCGGCGGGTGGTTGACCATGTGGCGGATTCCTCGCACCAGGAAGCTGAAGGGAGCTGAACATTCGGACGAAATCGGGAAACAGATTCAGTGAATGCCGGTAGACATCCGGCAAGCCCGAGAGAAGCCACGAAACACAACACGGCCAGGGGAACGTGAGACCGGACACCCTGAACCCTTTTGCCACCTACCCCACAACCCAAAACCCTGCAATTACCCAAGACAGACTGAACCCTAAAGCCGCGTGCTCAGCAACCCCTTAGACATCCCAGATGTTATCAGATGTTCTTAGACCTTAGACCGACCCAACCCTGAAGCCTAAATCTTGAACCCAAAGATTCCTGAAAACTCGCAAAACGACTGCCAAACTGGCACCAGGAACCGGACACTTAATCAAGCTCAGCGCTTCAAAATTGCAACACAAACCAAGCCTCAAGGATCTTAAGCTCCGGACCCCCTACACTGCCCTGCGCCCTCTTCAAAGCGACCCAGAACCCTGAACCAGTCCTGAACCAGTGCCGCTCAAACTCATGATTTCCTGAGTTTCCTGAATTGTCCGTGCGTCTTTTCCTGGATTGACTGGCGAGTTTCCTGGACTTCTGTTGGTGTTTCCTGACTTCCGATCTCTGATTTGCCGTTTCCGATGAGAGCCCTAAATTTCTAAACTCGTTTTCTTGCACTCACCCCAGAAACTTCTCTCCCTGACCCCTGAACCCCTGAAACCTCTCGGCTCCATCCCAACAAGCCCCGCACTTGCCGCGCAGCGAAATGGTGGGCATCGCCGGGGTGCTGAAACTACTCCAGTCCTGGGCTTCGTCGGTAAAATGGTTTTGGGCCTTGGCGGCAGGCACCACAGCGTCATGCCAGATCCCACTTTCCTCTAACCCTTGAAGGGTCCTTCACCTTGCGCCAGTAGGAGGGCAGCCTGGCGTTCGGCAGGGAAAGGCTCAAGGGTAGGCAAGAGCTTGGACAGGTAAGGAAATTTCCACAGAAAGATCTTGCAGGTTTCCAGGATGCTCTGTGCAGGCGCACTTGCCGGAACGCTACCGGAGTGTCCAAATCTTAGTCGGCGCCAAGCGGAAACCCGCTGCGGAATCCTTTTATTTGCAAGATCCTTTTTTGAGGTCGACCTCGACCCCAAGGCTCCGCCGTTCCGCGCGCATAGGTGTGGTGTGTTGATCCGGCATTGGGGTCGAGCTTGTTGGACGCCGTACCGGTGGGGGATCCAGACTCACACGGTGGCAACAAAGCAAAAAAAGTCGGCCCAGGTCACTGTTGCTCCTTGCAGCCCCCGAGGTTCATGGGGCCGACGTTGTCGAACCTTGACATTGGCACTCGGAGACACTCGGAGGTTCACGTGTTATTCTTTTCGTGGGTTCTTTGCAAGCACCTAGCAGCTCAGACGTCCAGGTTTCCCTTGGCCCAATATTTCGGGATATGTTTGCTAGTTCAGGGTGAACCAAGCTGCCGTTCAGATTTCTGGCGCGCTCGGTTCAGAGGTCAGCACTGACGGGCGACACGAACTTTTAGCCTATTTCGCCGAAGTCAAACCCGATCTGTCCTTGGAGTTGCAGCCTTGTGTTGGCTGAGTGCTTGGCAGCGTGCGGCGCATCTGCCCCGGTTTGCCAGGCTCGTCGTGCCACCTTTGCATATGATGTCACTGAACTAAAAAAAATCAAAACTTATTGTGACGTCTTCCTCTGGGATGCAAGCTTCAGCTGGCGGTCGCTCATGACCTCGGGCGGCAAGCTGCTCGCTTGCTAAGCAGGACTTCAAAGCAAACCACCCCTTGCCCGTCAGGCGCAGGCATACCGCTCGCGCATTCTGGGTATCCCCTCACCTTCACAGCATATGTTCGAGCGCGCTCAGCATTTGGTTTATTCTCGCAGCCCTCTCTCTCACGTCGAGTTGCTTCACTAGCAGTCCTAGCAGCCTTCATTGCGGTACTTGCAAACCCTGCCAGCTTGAGCCTCTTGAGCCTGAGCCACGACGTCCTGAACCCCCAACACACTCAACATATCCAGGCTCAACATTGGCCTTCCTTGGCTTTCGGCTTGTCGAAATACTCACGGACACCGCTCTGGACCTGCCCAAGACTCTGGGGTTCTCCGGGTTTTGGGCTTCAGGACTTGGGGGCTTGGGGGAGAACTTGGATGGTGGCTACACCTTTGCGCTGCCTCGTTGTTCATTCGGGACATCATGATGTGATGCTCCTGAGCCGACCGAGTCTGCTGGGGTGACCCGCCGACGTCCAACACACGGGCGACCCTAGAAACTAAACCCAGACAATCGAAACTAAGCCTTAAACTGGGGGGTTTGGGGGGGCTCAGGAGGCTAATGACAGACAGGTCTAAGCATCGTACTAACAGGTGAAGCTAACGCTGCCACAGAACTGACGTTCGAACTTTTAGACGTCACAGTGCGTCCAAAAGCGAACTGGCTGGTGCAAACGACTCACTGCCTCGGGCGGGTGAGGTGGGTATCTGAAAAGCTGCTTTGGGCTTCTCGTCTCGAGAGGCACAGCTGAGCTGACGAACAGGACAGCGTACTTAGCACTACGCACAACTTGTCACTGCATGCACACATGCATTTCCCTGCAATCTATCAGTCCCCGCTCCTTGGCGAAATTTGCTTTGCTGCCGGGCTTTGGATTTGAGTATCGTCGCGAGTTTAGGATTTTTGGGGGTCGGGCTCTGCGCGTTGAGGGATTGAAAGACGGTTTCCTTGGCGAGCCATAGGCGCTCATTTTTGTGGTAGTGGAAAAGTGTCATAAGTGCTTGCGTATGAAAAGTTGTCAGCAAAGACTGCACAAAAACCCGATGATGGTAAGTTTCCACCTCACATATTTTCGCACGCCTCTGCTTTCAGCAGCTTGATCGGACGAACGAAACACCAAATTTCTTTTTGGACATAGAGCGAATCCAAAACAATCGAAGAACTCTGCCCAAGGCCATAGATCCCACAAGTCTTTATTTCTCTGGCCATGCCGAGCGGGGTGCCACGCGTGATCCAGTGATGGACTTCGGACTCTGGGTCACCTGCCGACCTGCAATAAGCTTCAAACACGTCCGCGTGCAGTGGCAAGGTGAACGTATGTGCGTCCTTGAGTCTGATCGCATTAACGCCCTTCGATCCCATGACCTGCCGGAGGCACGACCTCCATTCCTTCGTGACGCGCGTGTCTTCCGCCGCGTCCTTCGCGCCGTAACATTCTGCGAGTTGTACTGCTTTGGGGTTCCTTGTGACACATGACTCCAAGCCGCAATCGTTCTCACCCCTAAAGCCCTCGCGAGGTGTGGCTCCTCGTTAACTTGTCTGAGGGCAGACTCCACCTGTCCGTAGTTCCCCGCGCCTGGTTTCCAAGCAGAGGTTGCGTCCTTGTTGTCTGAGACTATGTTTTTGAACGGAGGGCCTGATCTGGGATTTTTATGACTGGCGTCCGCCTTTGTGCCTTTGTAGTCGTTCGAAGACACAACCGTCGTCCCATCCTGCACTCCCTCCGTCGAAATGTCCTCCGCCTTCATTTGGACGTCGAACTTAGCCATCACATCCTGTGATTTTGGATCTTCGATGCCCTCTGGTGCCTTCGACAAGCGAGTGATCTCCCTTGCGAGGTATTCCCTCTTCAACTTCAACCACTCCAGAGTAGCA